GTGTGTTTGCAGCTCCACTAGCACGACCGTTGCTGCAAGCATCACGGGTGTTCTCAGCCCATCTCATGCAAGCATTGCCACAAGCATTGCAGGTGTTTGCAGCCCTACTTGTGTGAGCATCGCCGTGAGTGTTTTGGGCATCCAAAGCCCCACAAATGTGCTCATAACACATCCAGTCACCCCCCCACAAAAAACCATCCCTTCTTCCCCTGCCCCCCCAGTCTGGGCCACCAACCCTGAAAGATTGGGGAACTCTGCCCTAGAAGGCTGGATGTAGCTACTTCACTAGGTTATCCTTCGTGGTTGGTTATGCAAGGCTATTGAATTTTACCATCAGATCTAGCAGAAGTGTTTTTTTGTTTTTTTTTGTTTTATGTTATGCTGAAATATAAATAAATAACCACCTCTAGCTCCAATGGAAAAAAGGATTATAATCAATAATTTCAGTTATTATTTCATAAGTGTTCTAGTACGGTAATATTAACATCTGAGAAACATTCTACCAAGTATGCAAGCTATAGACTGATTCATTAATGTAGATGCTAAAATATTAACTGCAACACTAGCTAGGAGGCCACAGATGATAATATCATCTACTGTTCATCTATCTCAGCCTTGATTTATAAAAAATAGACAAACATTTCAACATTGAATTTGAGACCCGACAGAAGTATTGTTTTATGTCCACATACACACATCTTCCAGAAAATACAACTTTGAAGAAGAGCCCTATGCATGCACCCCTTTTGAACGCTCTGTGCTTGCATTATATTTAGATTGAGTTCCGAGTTCATCCTGAAATATAGGATATAAATCAAAACAAAATTATTGGTAAATATGTCAGTTTCTTTTCTCTGTTCAAGCATGCTTCCAGTCAGTATCACAGTTTATTGATGTAGCTCCTAGTGTAAACAACTTTGCATTTTATAAACAACAGAATTTAAACATGTTTTAAAAAACAAAAAGTCCAAAAGTAAAGGAACAGTTTATTTTTAACCAGTGATACTGTTAAATATTCAGATCTTAAAATGTATGAAGTGAGAACAAGCAATAATTCCTGAAGTCTATGATACAATCTTTTTGAAATATTACTTTTGTTGTACCATAGCCAGTTACTCAAAATGGTAACTTAAATTAACTCAGCTAGATTCAATCATTGCAGTTGTTTGGTACAGATAGAATTGGTGTTCATGGAATTAAACATAAAAATGCATATATACATATTGTCAAGGATGAAACTTTGGCAGCTATGTGCCTCTGCATTTCATCTTGCCTTTAGATTAAGCAGGGGAGGTGTTACTTTCAAGTAGTTAGATGGAGAAACAAAACTTTTTTGATTTAGCTGTAGACCGTGAGAGCTTGAAGCCTTGTCAAGGACACCAGAACAGGTGTGGATTTGAAGCAGATGGTTCCCATAACAAAGTGGACTCGTTGATATAGATTACGTAAGATGTTGAGGGTTTGGCTGGGAAAACTATTGTTTAAGTCTATGAATTGGTGCTGGAACCTCAGAATTAGTTTTTCTTCGACATAACCAAGCTGTGTATTCAATAAACAGTACACTTTTCAGAAACAAAACAAATCTAGGGTTTTATTTGGATTCTCAAGCTGGATGTTGACAGATATGAATAGCTAAATAAATAAATTTCTGCTTTACCCTAGATAGATCAATAGAGGAAATGCATAGTTAGTTATTTGCTTAGATTTATAAGGTACTAAATTATAAGTTCTATATTTTTAAGAAAGCCTATGCTTAAATTCATATATATTAAAAATAACTGCAAAATTCTGATGCATAATCAGTGATAATTTATTTTCTGTGCAGTTCAGAATTTAAACATTTAAGTTCAAATGTGAACCTTTGCTTTACAGGTAGTCCTTGACTTACAGCCATTCATTTAATGGCTATTTGAAGTTACAACAGCACTGAAAAAGCTGGCATATGACCATTTTTCTCACAACCATTGCTGCATCCCCGTGGTCACATGATCAAAATTGGAATGCTTGGAAAATTGGCTCATCCCAGAATCACCTTTTGCAACCTTCTGACAAGCAAAGTCAATGGAGAAGCCAGATTCAGTTTACTAACTTAACAACTGCAGTGATTCACTTAACAATTGTGGGAAGAAAGGTCATAAAAGTAAAATGAGGGCAAAACTCACTTAATAGCTGTCTCGCTTTGCAACTGAAATTTTGGGCTTAATTGTGGTCGTAAGTCGAAGACTATCTGTATTATCAAGGAGCCTTTCAGTTGCATTCTTCCATGGAGATAAGAGTTAAAATAACTCAATTATTCTATATTCTAACATCTCTCATTCAGCATTTAAGTCTTCCCTCATTAAAGGTACTAATAGCTATCCAACACATGATTCAGATTCTTATCTAGGATAGAGATACTGTAATATGCAGTTAATCCAGCACCCTGTAAAGTCTCCTACAGTTACAAAAAGTACTTTGAAGTCAAAATTAACAGAGCCACTTGTTCCTATGCAGTTTCAACCTTGTATCACTGCAAGATCAAATGACAGCTCAAGGATAGGCAATCGGAGGGCTGTGTGGTCACTATATGCGAAAAATGTTATGTAAATGTCATTTTACATAACATTTAATATTATTTTACTGAACAGGATAGGGTCAAATATAGGGAGAAGCCAGAAATTGAGTTTTAAAGTAGCCTGGATCCAACAGGAACTGCAGACAAAAGAAATCTAGGGGGAAAAAATCTTGAATGCACCCTATGCAAAAGGCTAGAAATAGAGTTTGTTATAGTAATAGTGGAACAAGACAGCTTGTAATACACTGTAAGGTTGTCCTTCCTTGCAACCAGAATTTATGTTGCTAATAAAGGCGGTCGTTAAATGAGTCATGCCCAATTTTACAACCTTTTTGCCACAGTTGTTAAATGAATTACTGCAGTTGTTAAGTGGTTAAGTGAATCTGGCTTTCTCCATTGACTTTGCTTGATTGAAGGAAGATAGAAAGGTTGCAGATGGTGATCATACAACCCCAGAATACTGCAGCTATCATAAATAAATACATGTCAGTTGCCAAGCACTCAAATTTTGATCATGTGACCTGCTGTGACAGTAATAAATGCAACGGCTTGTTGTAAGTCACTTTTTCAGTGTTTCAAATTATCACTAAATGAATGATTGTTAAGTTGTGGACTACCTATAGCAAATGCCTCGGCTGCTTTTTCAAGGCTGTTGCAGCTGCTTTCTCCATAGTCCAGTTGGTTCTCACTAAAGCAGAGGCTGTTGTCTCTGTTGAGATGCCTCCTCTTTAATTTTGAGTCCTGCCACTTCAGCTTTTGTTTTTCTAGGCAGTGAAGTGGCACTGTTGGAGGCTCAAGGATGAGTCAGAGCTGTTTTATTTGATGAGGCTTCAAGGCTCTGGACCATGACATGTTCCCTGTCATTCAAGGAGGTCTATATAAGTCTTTGCCTTCAGATATCCTCTGTTGCAGAAGACATTGTGTGTGCATGTGTGTATTCATAACCTCTGAATGCACATGGGAAGACCAGATCAAACAGACAAATGTGCAATGTGCAACTCTTTTGTCTCCTGAAGAATCCAGAAGTATAAAAACAAAAGATGACATAATCATGTGACTTTCTCCACCAGCACTCAAATTTATTGGCTGCAAGTGTGTTGAGAGAAAGAGAGAGAGAGGTGTGCGGTGTGTGGGTATGTGTACACACACACACACATTCAGTCTCATTACTCACATACTATTGTCCTCTTACCTTTTTTACATAGAAAAGAACTCAATAAAAGCCACTATCTTCTCAGATAGTCTCCAATTGTATTTTAAGACCAAGTTACCTAAAATTTGAATCTTACGTCTTGTTAAATTCAAGGTCCTGGGTTTTTAAATATCACTACATATTCCTACCTCTTTCAGCTCTTTCTCTCTTCCACCTCCTTCTTTTCTTAAAAAGGAAAATAGCCAAGAAAGAACAGAGTGAGGGTGCATTGGTTAAAATAAGAGTTTGCAGAACAAGCTTTAAATGCTCTTCTGTTTTAATGGAAGTGTGGAGTTATTCATTGTATGCATAATTGAATTCTGCCATCTAGGAAGTTCATGCTTCAATTTTGTCTGATTCATATGCAGCTCATCTTCACTGTATTCTATGAATAGCAGAGCCAAACTCTTCAGTGCCTAAGGGGTCTGAAGACTCTTTCCGGGAAAAGATGTATGTTCTGCTTTGTTCTTGTTTCAAATACTATTCCATTTCATTTCAACTTGTTCATTAATGAAGTGCTTCTATTGTCCCTGTGTTGTAAATTCATTCACAGATGTTATGCCTTACCTAATTGAGATCCTGCATCTTGGTCCCTTCAGCATACTTTTGCGCAATGCAAATATTCACCATAATGATTTTGTACATATTTGTATGGCATTAAATATACTTGAAACTTAATGTGGCTGATAAATCCCAAAGCACACTTGTCATGTTTAAGATTTCATACCCCATTAACTGGCAAGCCAATCTATTTCACTTATTCTCTGTTGGTGTATGTTTAAAATTAGAGACAGATTGAAGTAATGTTGATTACTGTCAGGAATAGTGAACCATAACATACAAGAGAAAACTTAATAAAGTTTGGTCTTCAACATCATGGCTAGCATAGCGGTTTATTATTCTGCCAGATCTCTTCCTTTACTGTGTTGCAACAGAAAGATTTATTGCTTCAAAAAATATGTCAAGGCCCTTGCTAGTTTACAAAACATTGTCAGGCTATTGATGCAGGGAGATAAAATGGTTCTTGCTTTGAATCAACACTTTCTTCTTAGAGAGCGTTTTTCAATAGTAGCATCATAGCTACTATTGCATTAGTTTTGTATTGTGTTGTAAATTGGTGAGAAAAAAAATAGTAAGATGTTACCAAAATGAGATAAAGTACCAATAATGTCAGAACAATACAATCACTCCATTGATATTTGGTGAGAAATATCACTCGAAGTAACAATGAGTTCTCCTGTTCTTCATTTACAGGTGCTTCAGAAACTAGGCAAAGCTGATGAAACAAAAGATGAACAGTTTGAAGAGTATGTTCAGAACTTCAAACGGCAAGAGGTAAGAAGATTTTGTTAGTTTGATTATCGTATAAAATATTAGTTCACTAGATCTTAGCCCATAGAGCAGACATGTCAAACCCACAACATCATGTGACATCGCGCAACATATCGGGACTGTTTTGCCATTGCCAGCAATGGGGTGGGCACGGCTTCTGTGTGACGCATCCGGTCCACAAGCCGGCAGTTTGACACCCCTGCTATAGACTAAGAAATATATTATTTGAGAATATGTATGTAATTTATTCTGTGTTTAGGTACTTAATGCTTTTTCTTGATCACCTTTCAAGACTGAAACTTGTGACTATGGCTGAGAAGTGTGCACAAAATAGAAAATACATTTGATTTCAATTCTGGATGAAATCCTTAAGTTTCAGAGGTTCTGCCAAACCTTTAAGTTCAATGATGGTTTAGCAGAAACAAACCCCAGATTCTACCAGCAAAGTCCTTTAGACCAAATTATATCAAAATTATATTAAATAAATGCAGATAATCTAATGTAGAAATCTACATTTCTCTGGATTAAATCCTAACCTATTCATCCTCACATGATGAGGAGCTTCATGTTTGATGGTATTAGAGATATTGTCACCGTATGTAAGCTGTTCCGAATAAAGTTATCTTTTACAATTGACCAATTATTATGGGTCATTTGCATAGTCAGCCAGATGTTCAGATTAGATTTGGCATTTTTGTCATTTCCTCCTCCTTCTCCTCCTCCTCCTCCTCATCAAATGTTTACATTCCCCTGGACAGTATTGGTCTTGTTCTCAGTATTGGTCTAATTCAAGAGTGGGCAATTAACTTTCCCAAGGAGCCACATGAGGAACTAAGACTGTTGTGGAAGGCAAACCAATAGCTCCTGGCTACCCTCCACCCACTTGCCCATACTTTGACCAAAACGATAGTGGGTGGCCAAGTCTGGCTCCCCTCACGCAGTGACTGCTGCCATCATCTCAGGCTGGTGAGGGGCAAACACTGCACAGGCCCAGAAAAGCACTCACTTTCCTCACCCCCCTGAACTACCTGCCAACTGTAGGAATGCATGGTGACTGTACAAAGCTGGACCCAATTCAGCTTCTTCTCCCGCCACTTACAATAAACTTATTTATATTTGTTTTCTAATTTCCAGTTGATCTCATGCAAGCTGTACAGGGTCAGCCAAAGGGCCAGATGTGCTCAGGAGCTGTAAAATGCCCAGTCTAACTGCAGCTTCTTAATGACTTCTTGAGTTGCAATTGTGCAGTAACGATCATTATTGTTACTACTAAAGCTTTTTCCTCTGTTTTATTATTAGCATTCTTTTTTTTTTAGTGAATAGTGAAACAATTCCCATGGTTCTTAAGGAAAGAATGAGATGGAGCCATTCATTTGTAAAGTTCATGACTGGAATGCATTACATGTTAGAATTTGGTACAAATGAAAACAGCCCCCTAAATACATTAATCAAACTGTCATACTTGTATTTAATCCAGCAGATGACAGAACTGCCAAATACCTTAATTTAATGGCTTTCTTTTCTTGTTTAAAAAAAGGTCATGGAGCCTATCTGTGTTTTACAGCCTGTACTAATTGTATTTTATTTCAATTGTTTCTCTTTAGCCAACCAAACACAATTGATTTGTGAGTGTTTGTTAAACAAATTGTTTAAGGAGGCTCTCTGATTAGGCTCTTCTGATGTTCCCAGAATGCCTTGCATGATTCAAGCCAACTGAAGCACTTCAATGGAAATATATGCTCAGGCAATGTTTGAGAAAGATTAATTGTGGACTTTTCTAACAGCTTCCTCTATTGTCCACCTTTCAAGGCATCAGTGTAAATATTATGTTAAGACGTGCTTCACTCAAATCATACTTAAATGTAGCATTAATTATGAGGAAAATCCTTGAAATCCTGGGGGAAAGTCTTGGCTTAATATTTGTTGTGATCTAAAACAAAGATCCCCAACCGTTTTAGTTCTGTGGACCAGCAGTGGCAGTGGCTTAGGTGATTTAGGCAGCGGGGGGTGGGGAAGGAATTGTTTTCATGCACGACCAAAATCCTACACATGCACAAATGAAGCTTCACATGCTTGCTTGCTGCTTTAGTGGCCCAGTTCTCAACCAGCCACTGCCTGGTAGTGGGTTGCAACCCAGCAGTTGGGGCCCAGCAGTTGATCTAAAAACATCCTTATTTCCCTTGGAAACCCTAAGCAAGATCCCATTCTTAGACCTCAGTGTCACGGAGTATCTACAAAATTATTATATGAATACAATACAAAGTTTGACCACTTAACAAGTCTAAGGATTATTAAATTAGAACATAGATCATTAAAAGATAACGATAGACCTTCAAGTCTTAGGTCATGATCTTTAACTGATGGTGAAATTCACACGTTGCTTTAAGTTACAGGAAATCACCTTCTTGTAACTAATTATACTCTGAAAGTAAATATTGGGCAATATTACATACTCAAAATGTTTATAATTAATTTATCTGTTAAGTAGAACATGCAGTACTCTGTGTTGTAGATTTATTTATTACCCATTGAGTTTACTTTCTATTTTTTTAAGACCCAAAGGAATAGATCCAACCAAACAAAGTATCAAGGTTTGAGGTTAAAGTTGTGTTTAATATTATGGGAGCAGTTTTCGAAAGCCTGAACAAAAAAAAATGTGATTAAAATATGAGTGAGATACTTATGACTGAATTTGCTGTTGATTACAGATATGTTGTAGTTCTCTGCTGTTATATGTTAAACTAAGAGATGATATTTGCCCCAAAGTTTTGAACTTTCCATAATAACTCTGTTTTTACTGACCTCAAAAGCAAATTATCATTTTTTTGGTCTATACTCATGAGAGTACTTGAAATATTTGCTCCTAACATATTCAGAATGAAGGCATAGTAATCCATGCTTTGATGTCCATTTTTTCTATTTTTAAATACTTCTGGGCTTGTTTTAAGTAGACCTTGATTAACAAAGCCTTTCCATTGGTTGGGAGAGAGAAAATGGTACAGGTGGTCCTCAACTTACAATAATTTAATGACCATTCAAAGTTACAACAGCACATTTTTCACACTTATGACTGTTGCAGCATCCCCATGGTCATGTGATTTATATTTGAATGCTCGACAAGTGGTTCATATTTATGACAGTTATAGTGTCCCAGGGTCATGTGATCACTTTTTGCAACATTTTGACAAGCAAAGTCAATGGAGGGGGCAGATTCACTTAACAACCATGTTACTAACTTAACAACTGCAGTGATTCACTTAACAAATGTGGCAAGTGAGGTCATAAAATGGGACAAAACTCATTTAACCAATTTATCACTTAGCGACATAAATTTGGGGCTCAATTGTGGTTGTAAGTCGAAGACTATCTGGATTGGATTGGAGAAACATATGATGAAAAATTTCCTCTCAGAACTAAGTTGAGTACAGGTTTTATACAGTTAATGTCTTCCTAATTTTTTTATTTTTTTTTATTTTTTTATACAGTTAATGTCTTCCTAATAGAGGATGAGAACTTGGATCTCCCCACTGCTACTGTGTTTCCCTGAAAATAAGACCCACCTTGAAAATAAGCCCTAGCCTGATTTTTTTGGGGTGGGCCTAATATAAGCCCTACCCCAAAAATAAGACTGGGGGGTGGGTGTGGCCAGCACAAGCAGCAGCAAGTGCATAGGAGCCAACAGTGAATCGCTCAGTTTCCAAGCCCCCCATTGGCACCCAAACACTTTTTGCCTGGACAGAGAAATGACAGAGACTGGAAGCTTCGTCTGCTTGCAAATGGGGTAGTTGGAAATGGAGCAAATCCCTCAGTTTACAACTGCCCCATTTGCAAGTAGATGAAGGATCCAGTCTCCTTCTGGGCAAAAAGTATTTGGGTGTCTATGGGATGCTTGGGACAGTTCTACCCTATCCCCCACCTGCCTCATCTCATGGTGACAGCACGGCACAGCGGGCTACGTGGCCTCCTGTCATGAGTGGCCACAGAAGTGGGTCAGCAGCCACGTGGGCTCCTGCTGGATGGGGTGGTTGGTGCTGCCGCCACGAGGCAGGTGTCGGGGGGGGAAATAAGACATCCCCTGAAAGTAAGACCTACCGTCTCTTTTGGAGACAAAAAAAATATTATAAGACCGGGTGTTATTTTCGGATAACACAGTAGTCCAACACTGTTTAACCACTATACCCACATTGGATCTCCACTAGAGTACAATACAGTGCAGTACAACCATGCATTTTGGATCTTCTGGGCATGTCAGTTCCTTCACAGTTCCAAGGAGCAGAACCAGAAACATCAAATAACTTATCCCAAAAGTGCGTTTCAAGGGCAACATTCCGTTTCTTGGATGAGAAGCAAAATTTTTGAAGGAAAAAAACCAAGAAAGTCCACTTGTCTTTTGAAAAGCAACCATGACCTGGATGATTGAGAATCTCCCTAGACATCAAATGACTTGCATTGAAGCCTAGTGTATTGTAGAAAATTGTTTTTGCATTACAGTATAGAAACTAGCTACATAATAGAATCACTTGGTAAATATGTGGAGATTTTTAGCTGCTTGCCAGAGAACATTTTCATTATTTTAGTTTTTTAAGAGATTAAATTTGTCTGAACTGATACACTATATTTATACAGCTGTGTACTGCATATAATATATATAATAATCACATATGAGAATACAGTTCTTTGTGGATCTGAATTGGTTACAGGTTTTTATTTTATTTCTATTTTGTATTTCAGACAGAAGGTTCCAGACTTCAAAAAGAGCTTCGAGGATATTTAGCTGCAATTAAAGGTAATTGCAATGAAAACAATACATTTTAGATTTTTGCTGCAAATTTTAAATGTAACATTTAACTATTTTCTTTGTGAAGCTTGTGAAGTTATTTTCTCCAGGTGTCGCCAATAGCCTATCAAGCAAACTGAGTCTAATAGAAGAATGAAACTGCTAGTCCACATGAGATATAAGAATCAGCTCAGTGAGAAAGGTCATTATTGTTCTAAACTGCAGCAGTCTCCCCAAATATAAACCCACATATACAGTTCTGTGCAAAAATGTTAGGCAGTTGTGCAAAAATCCTGTAGATTAAGAATGCTTTCAGAAATAGAGATATTAATAGTTTATTTTTATCAACTAGCAAAGTGGAAAGTAAATGTATAGAAGAGAAATCCAAACCAAATCAATATTCACAACAGCATCAATTCTTCTAGGTAAACTTGCATACAGTTTTTGAAGGAACTCAAAAAAGTTCCTTCAAGATCCCAATAGCTTGGAGAACTAATCACAGATCTTCTGTGGATGTAGGCTGCATCAAACCTTTCATGTAATCCCAAACAGACTTGATGATGTTGAGATCAAGGCTCCCTGGGGGCCAAATTATCACTTCCAGGACTTCTGGTTTTCCTTTATGCTGAAGATAGTTCTGAATGACATTGGCTATATATTTGGGGTCATTGTCCTGCTGCAGAATAAATTTGGGACCAATCACACACCTCCCTGATAGTATTGCATCATGGATAAGTATCTACCTGTATTTCTCAGCATTGAGGACACCATTGGTCTTGACCAAATCTCCAACTCCATTTGCAGAAATGCAGTCCCAGATTTGCAAGGATCCTCCACTATGCTACACTGTTGCCTGCAGACACTCACTATTGTATCACTCTCCATCCAGCCCTTCGGCAAACAAACTGCCTCCTGCTATAGCCAAATTTTTCAAATTTTGACTCATCAGTCCAGAGCACGTCCTGCCATTTTTTTGCACTCCAGATCCTATGTTTTTGTGTACAGTTGAATCACTTACCCTTGTTTCCATATCAAAGGTATGGCTTTTTGGCTGCAGTTCTCCCATGAAGACCACTTATGGCCAGATTTCTCCAGACAGTAGATGGGTGTACCTGGGTCCCACTGGTTTCCACCAGTTCTGTGCTGATAGCACTGCTGGACATCTTCCATTGTTGAAGGAAAGTAAGCACGATGTGGTATTTTATCTGCTGCATTAATTTCCTGGTCAGCCACTATGTCTACGATCCTCAACATTGCCCATTTCTTTGTGCTTCTTCAAGAGTTTGAACAGCACACCTTGATATCCCAGCCTGCTTTGAAACCATTGCCTGGGAGAGACCTTGCTGATGCAGTATCATTGTATACCTTTTGTCTTGTTTCTGTGCTCAGTGTTGCTATGGTGTGTGACCTGTAACATGAAACTGTCTTTCAGAACTTCACCCAAGCAAAGTTTGGCTGTTCCTGGGCGAGTTTAAACCTCCTACATAGTTGTTACTGTTTCAGTTAATAACCTATATGTGAAATTGATGATCACAAGCACCTGTTTGATATAATTGGTTAATTAATCCACCTCACTCTAATCCTACAGAATCCCTGACTTGTGCAAGCGTATGAATTGATGCTGTTTTGAAGGCAAAGAGTGGTCACACAATATTGATTTAATTTGGATTTTTCATTTATTTTCCATTTTGTTAATTGATAAAAACAAACTATTAAGACTTCTATTTCTGAAAGCATTCTTAATTTACAGCATATTTATACAACTGCTTATCACTTTTGCACAGTACTGAAATATTTCCTAATGGGAAGATCTCTGACTTCCCAATTTTTCACTTTGTAACATTTAGGTCATATATTTAACTGCTAGTTGGATAAAGTATATCCAGCCATTGAATTGGCATTGTTCAGAAATATTAAAAAATATTCATCCCTCTGACTTTCCCCAAGTTTGAATAAGATGAGGAGCTTAATGTTCATCAGTTTAGTGTATAGTTTCATTTAATTTACCAAAGAGTTCATGGAGATATTTTTTCCCTAAATGGACAAGGCAAGACATAACAAAGTTCAGATAGATTTTTTTGTTTTGTTTTTCCTTCTGTTAGAGGTTTTTTTTTCTGGCATGCTGTCTTAATGCCCATTTTCTTAACAAAGAATTTATTTTCCTTCCCTTTTTAGAAACATGATATTCTTTCAGCTAACTATAGGTAAAGCAACCTAATATGGGCTGCAATTCTTCTGCAATTTACTTTACTTTCAGGAGCCCCAAATTTATTGCTCACTTCACAATAGCTGGAAACCTGGCAGAATTTAATAAGTGAGCAAAAATTTTAAAAGTATTTGTCCTAATAATACTTTGTTTATATGTTATAATCAGTGATGAAAAATAAAGAAGTGGAACAGAAGGATATTTATTTGTCTTTTCCCCCAGAAATTACCTCAGTACTATATCTGATTCTGTATGTTTTGATTAAATACAAAAAGTAAATAATTACTTTTTGAGGGAGATGAGCAGTTTAGAAATGAGAATGAATGAATCAATCAATCAATTAATCAATCAATGATATTCTAATATCCTTTTACACTGGAAGAATCTCCATTTGAACCCAGTTAGATTCACATCTGAATAGAAAGGTATGAAATCACACTGGGCTAATAGCATATTATTTCAATATTTAAAAAAAAAGATAAAAAGGTACTCATAAATGCTTTATATTAGCGAGGGGGAGAAAAGGTGGCGATGAAAGAAATCCTGCACTGTGAAAAGCACATTGAAATCCTTCCTTATGATTCTAGATGACCTCCAAGGTCCCTTCCAACTTTATTATTATTATTATTATTATTATTATTATTATTATTATTATTATTATTATTATTATTATTATTATTATTATTATTATTATTATTATTATTATTATTATTATTCTGACAAGTACGTGGTTGCAGATGCCCACTCTATGATGTGACCATCATGTTTGCCTGGAGTTGAGTGTGGTGGCAAAAATATGGAAGTGGTTGGCCTACAACCGGGTATTCTTGGTGATCTTTCATCAGGTCCAATACTGATTATATTTTTCAAAATCAGCCAGGCAGATTTGTCCTTATACTTGAAAAAGCAAGGGGCATGGAGTGAAGAAAGATATCAAAATGGTTTTAGACAAGTATGGAGAGAAGTTTAGAAGAGAGAGGCCACTGAAGAAGAAGCTCAAGGAGTAAAAGTACGGTAATAGATGAGCCAAAAATCAAAGGGGGGGGGCATTACAGTAGCAAAAATGTTTTAAAAAAATGATCCTTCAGATGAGGATCCTCCTGAAACAACAGATTAAAAGGACTATGAAATGATCCAATTTTTAAACACAATTGTTCTATAATAAATTATGACTTAGAATTTGATTGTTTCTACTTGGTTTATATCACTGAAAATCTAAATACACTCTATTTCTATCAGCTCTATTCTATAAGAGCTATTTTTCATCAAATGCCATATGAAAGAAACCAGATAGGTTTGAGCTGTATGTTTTGAACTGGAATTTATGCAGTTGTAAAGAAAGCAAACAACAGAGCTGTTTCCTTAACCTATTTACCTTTGTCCATCCAATGTGTGTAATTACATTTAAAGTTTTCTTCCATGATGGAATCCAGACAAAACTTGGAGTCAGCAGAAAATACGCAAAAAAAAGAAGAACCCTACATAAATGAATTTTCTGCTAAGCATAACTCCATTTATACTGGCAATAAAACAAAGACAGAGTAGCTAAATAAGAAGTGATATATATATATATATATATATATATATATATATATATATATATATATATATATAGCAATAAAAACAAATATATATATATATTCAAACTCATTTCATTTTTTAATATTGTCATTTGTTATTGACATCAATCATTACTAATTTTTTATCATTTTATTATTTTTGAAATAATGTTCAAAATAATAAATTCTAACAAAATCCTGTTTTGTAGCCTTATTGAATGTTTATGAACTTCAGAGATGACACTGATAAAGGCAGATCAAATGGAATCCAACCTTGAAATTACAGTTGTGAACAACAGATTCTTTGTGCTCAAAAATTTTAGGCATGCAAGATGCTTCCAAAAAGCTTACAGAGTCTCTTCATGAAGTATATGAACCTGATTGGTATGGTCGAGAAGATGTGAAAATGGTTGGTGAGGTAAGAATTTATTGTATTTACTTAAGAAATTGCAGATTTAGACTGAATTGTGCTTAGAATAGACACAGTGAAATTCATGTGATAAGTAAACAATGCCTAATTTAAATATCATTAACTTCAATGAATCTGCTCTGACTAAATCTTAATTTGTATTACAAGGAATTCGAAGTATTTAAGACTAAAATAAAACTAAATGATAAAGCATAAGACAACAAATTATTAATTAATACAGCCATATTTACTTTCCAATAATCCTATTCTTGATTTTCCAAAAGAAGAGTTTTAACCAGTGCCTAAAACTGAGCTTTTAATCAACTGAAATTATTAAAGATAGGAGTTCCCAGAAACTGCTATTGCAAAAGCCTAATTTTTATTGCACCTCAACTAATTTTGGAGTAGATACAATTCAGTGCCATAAAATCACTTAAGCCACTGTGAATATTATTCCTGAAGATCACAGGTTCCTTCATCTTTTTTGGTGGTTTTGGTTGAAAATAGGAGCTTGAGTTGCTTGAAGGCTTGGAGATCAATCTAGTACCATTGAAGATAGTACACTATTTGTATTAGAGTCTATACAACACATTTTTTCCAAAGCTAGGAAGACTCTAAAGATTGTGCAAGAGCACAAATAAATATAGTGATACAAAGAGGAGCATTTGACAGCTAAGGAATAGAAAAGGGACTGAAATGAGACACTACCAAAGAAAAGATGAGAAAATGCATTGACTAACTAAATAAATAATTTACTAATACTACTGTTTTGCCCAAAATAAAGAAAACAAGTAAATATTTTTATATTTATGAAGGCAATATGACTAGTTGAAAGTCTAGTGACTAGTTGTGGAAGTAATAATTAGTTAAATTTGGAAATGAAGGTGAAAAGTGTTCTGTTCGCGAGTCACAGGCATTGAGACGAAGCGAGTAACACAAAGCAAGTCTTCTGTATTCCAAACAGCAACAGAACTGGTTACAAAATGGTGCGGTTCCCTTTTATAGTCCCCTGCAAGGTACCTTGCTGACCAATCGTTGCAAGGGCTTTTTCCCGCCTTACGCATGCATGCAAGGCTGGAAACAGCCTTTCTGGTCCTGGGCATCCACATGGTCTGCCCGGGCCAACCGTTGCAGCCTGCATCTGCAGGCCCAGGACATAACACCCCTCTCCCCTTGGATAAAATGTTAAGGCACACATTATTTTAAATACCCCAACACTCCATTACATTGCTTACATTGCATATATACACAACAAGCTACAATCTTACTACCACCATATTCCACACTCCTCTTGATCTACATTTACTTAGTCCAGACTACTAGGCCTGCCCATGAACTGACAAGGACCTTACATAGTCCTGTAAGTATATGGGAGGACCTCTGGCCTGCCCTGATCTTCTCGGGGCCGGAGTTGGTGCCTGGCCTGCGAGCTCACCTGCCAGGCTTGGCAGACCAGGACTTTGATGCCCCCTTGACTCCTTGACCCTCCACCATACTGACTGGCCGGAACCTGTAACCCCAGACCAGAGTTCCTTGGTGGGGTGGTATTCCCCAAGCCCACACTGGACCCCTCTTGGAAACACTGTTCCGTGAGGCCAAGACCAGTAGATGGATTGGCCTGATGTTCCGGTTGGCTGTCTTGTTCCATAGACCCGGTGCCCGAGTCAGGAGCTGCCTCGTTGGCAAAACCCCCTTCTGGCCCCTGTGAAACTCCCCCATCGTGGAGAGACTGTGGTCCACAATTGTGATTGTGGCCTTCCTCCCCCTCAAGAGCTGAGCCAGGAGCGGAAGAGTTGCTGGGCAGATGCCAGTGAAGCTGATCGATGTGCCGTTGAATTACACGACTATCCTCCAAGGCCACTTCGTATGACAGCGGCCCCGAGACCTTGCATACTACTGCTGTTACCCAGATGTCCAGGTCCATAATTCCTTGCCCAGACTGGATTGCCCACCTGTAGTCTCCTAGGTGCCCGCGGCTGCGACACCTATGAAGCCACCCGGTCTGGGTGCAACCTGTCCAGTTTTGTGATGAGGCGGTGACCCCAGCGAAGTTCAGTTGGGCTCTTTCCAGTAGCTGTGCACAGTGTGGTGCGGTGGCAAAGAAGAAAGTCAGCTAACCTGTGATGCCAGTTGCCATGAGTGATCCTCTTTAAAGCATCTTTGGCAGTGCGCACCATATGGTCAGCTTGGCCATTGGAAGCTGGATGGAACGGTGCAGATGTGGCATGCCGGATCATGTTGGCTTAGAGAAAAGCCTGAAACTCAGAAGATGTGAATTGGGGTCCATTGTCGGAGACAAGGACATCTGGAAGACCATGTGAGGCGAAGATCCCTCTCAGCACCTGGATGGTCCTAGCAGAAGTAGTGGAGGAGACAGGAACAACCTCTAGCCACTTGGAATGGCTGTCCACGAGGAGTAGGAAGAATTGCCCCTGAAAGGGCGCAGCATAGTCGATATGGACTTCGACCAAGGGGTATGAGTCTCCTCCCACCTATGAACTGGGGCCTGGGGCATCTCAGGCCTCGACTGTTGACAAACAGTGCACCCGTGGACCTGGGCCTCGGTGTCTTTATCGAGCCCAGGCCGCCAAAGATGGCTGCACAATAATGCCTTCATCCGGACTATTCCCGGATGTCCCTCATGTAGAGACTGCAAGACTCTAGTCCTCAATGAGGTTGGGATCACTACCCTGCTACCCCATAAAAGGCAATCCTTGAAAGTGAAAAGCTCGTGCTTCCTTTGCCAGAAACTTTGGAATTCTGCACCTGGACATGTGTCAGGCCATCCTGACAACACCCATGTCAGCATGCGTGTAAGCGTGTGATCAGTGGCAGTTTCTGCAGCCACATCCCTAGCATTGAGGGGAGATTCAGGCAATTCCTGAATGGAAAGAATGTGAAGAGCAGGAGCAGGATCTGCCTCTATCTGCTTTAGAGGTAATCTGCTGAGGCCATCTGCATGGCCCATGTCTTTGCCTGGTTTGTGAATCAGTGTATGGTCATATGCAGACAGGAAGATAGACCATCTCAGCATTCTTGGGGATATTATTTGTGGGGTTTGTTTGCTAGTTGTGAACAAACCCAGCAGTGGCTTATGGTCTGTAAAAACCGTGAAGTGGCGGCCATATAAGAAATCATGAAACTTCTTTATGCCAGCCACTATGGCTAAGGCTTCCCTATCTATCTGTGTGTAGTTGCGTTCAGCTGATGATAGGGTCCTAGAGTAGTAGGCTATTGGGACTTGTGCCCCATCCACCTTCAAGTGATTTAACACCACCCCAATTCCATAAGGGGATGCATCACAGGTGATGCACACCGGCAATTGCTCATTGAAATGCACTAAGACCGCAGTTGAAGAGAGCAAGGCCTTGACCTCTCTGAAACTCTTTTCATGGACTTGTGTCCACTGCCATGGAGCCTGTTTGTCCAAGAGCTGGTGTAACGGCTCAGCCACTGCAGCCTTGTGTGGAAGGAATGAGTGGTAAAAGTTTAACAGCCCCAGAAAGGCCTGAAGTTCGCCTTTGGATTTGGGACTTGGGGCCTGCTGAATTGCTTGCAGCTTGGATTCAGCAGGGTGGATGCCCAGGGCATCAATGCGGAATCCCAGAAACTCCGTGGAGGTAACCCCAATCTTACATTTGTCTTGCCTTAACTTCAGCCCCGCTTGGTGGAAACGTAGCAAAATGGCTGTCAGCCTCTCAGCTAAATTGTCTGATGAGTCCCCAGCGATGAAGACATCATCAAAGTATGGGCAAACGCCAGGGATATTGTGGAGCGTTCACTCCATCACACTCTGGAAGATGCCAGGGGCCACATTGACACCAAACTGCAGTCTTTTTACCTTGAATGCTCCGCTGTGGGTTACTATGGTTTGTGCCTCGGCCGTTGCCTCATCAACTGGCAATTGTTGAAAGGCCTGAGCCAGGTCAAGCTTAGCAAAGATCCGGCCCCCTTTGAAGGAGGCCAGAATGTGGCTGACTACAGGTACCAGGTATGAATGCTGCTGCAGCGCTTTGTTAAGTGTGCACTTGTAGTCTGCACAGATTCGGACTTCACCATTGGCCTTCAGTGGCATGACTATGGGGGTTTCCCAAGGACTACTCTCCACAGGCTCTAAGATGCCTTGCTGAATCAGCTTATCTAGCTCTGCATCTATTTTACTTTTTAATGCGAGGGCACCCTGCGTGGCTTGATTCTAATGGGGCTATGGCTGGGTCCAGCCTCAGAGAAATAGGAGGGCCTTTGTAGGAGCCAAGTTCTGGCCTAAACACATCTGCAAACTCCTTGCAGACCCCAGCCAGGCCTGTCATTTGCACTCTGTTTATTCCAGAGTGCAAACGAATCCCAAGGGCCTCAAACCAGTCGAGTCCAATAAGGCTCGTGCGGTCTCCCCCAACCACAACTACATCTAGCAGCCCTTCAAAATTCCTACGCTGCACCTTGAGCGTGGCCTCCCCCCTCACGTGGACTCTGGAATTTTGGAAATCTGTGAGGATGAGGTTCGACGGCCTGAGTTTAACCCGTAGGCCGCTTCTGCTGCAAACCTTGTTAAAGGTGTCTAGGGAGATGATTGATAGAGCGGACCCTGTGTCCAGCTCCATCGACAAGGGGACCCCTTGCAACTTCACGTTGATGTGAAGCTTCTTCCTAAGTGGCCTGTGGACCCCCATTCTAAAAATGCTCCTACGTGACACGCAGAAACCCACCCTGTTCTGGCTGGGGACCCTGGTACCTTTCTGAGGCAATTCTTCTGGGTAACGTTCCTTCTGGCGACCCAAACAGACGGATGCAATGTGGCCTTGCCTACCACATGCCCTGCAGATGGCGGAGCAGAAATGGCAGTCTGCTGGGCTGATTAGTATTTCTGTATTTCTTGCCCACATAGGACTTCTGATCATTCCTTTTACTTCCTTTTCACTACTTTTAGTCTCACATTATAATGGAATCCTTTTTAACTTGAGGTTCTGAAATGAGGAATTATATGACTCATTGCCCCATATAGCTCATCTTCTGGTGGCTTATCCTCTTGCACTGGGAATAGCTGCCTGCCCAGAGCCTAGCGAAATCTTGCAAAGCATATCAATTTCTGGACAGATGCCTCCTTTGTGCACAGTATGAACTAGTAGGAACAGTATTAATCCTACTCTGCAACTCCCACAGTGATCAGATATTCATTTATCATGTTGGATTCTTTATGTTTGGTTCTTTCATTTGTTTAGATTTTTTTTATCATATTTCACTGATCTTCACACCTTTATAAAAGCACAATTTTCTAGCCGCAGAGACTCTATTCTGCAGGTGCCAAATGGGTGGATGGAATATTTGCTTTTTATGCCTTGGGGAAGGCCAAGCATCAGACTCATATAAACACTGCTAAATGTTTACTAAATAGCTTTGATGCAGTCACTCTTCCCATTCGTGACTCATTCTTTTAGAGCATTTTTTTTTTAAAAAAACAACACTCTGCAGCTATTATGGTTGATTTGCCTGCATCTGTTTCCAGTAGTCCTCTCTTCTCTCCAAAGTTGCCTGATGCCCATTGTATATTCTGTATATCTCTGAATAGTTTAACATCCTGTCTCCTATTGAGGATTTACAGGCCTCTGCCACATTGCTTTCAACACATGGAGTATCAGTGAATAAATGTCAGAGATTTTTGAAAGTTCTGTCTTGACTAGAGAGAAAAAAAGAAGAGTCCTCTTGATATAATCTTTCTAATATGTGTCCATAACTCATTATAGATTTTCTGATTTGAACCATCCATTCTCCTTCAGGTCCTTTCAGTCCTAAAGGCTTTATTTTGAAAGGAAAATCTATAGTACATCTCGGTTGAGACTTTAACTCTTCCTTCCTGTGTTTTATAAGAAATGGCATCAACTTTAGTTTTGCACTCTACCGTTGGGTCTATTCTGGAGCCTTAATTTTATTCTATATAGTAGTTATGTGGCTTATTCTTATCTTTAAGACATTGTGTTACTTCCATGTTTGGATTTTGGTTTCTTGTTCAGATATACCAGTGGTGGTGAACCTATGGCACGCGTGCCAGAGGCGGCACTCAGAGCCCTCTCTGTGGGAACGTGCACCCCCACCCTAGCCCCGCCTCCCCCCACAGCCCACCCCCACCAGCAGGCCCCCCGGAGGAGAGTCGCCCCTGGGCGCAGCCTGTGCAGAGCAGCGCATCCAAGGACATGGCAGCCAGGCAGCAGGGACGAGACTCTGCCCTCATGCCCCGTCACACGTAGATGATGCGAAGCGTGGATGGAGAGTGTGGCCACCATGGCACTACAGGGCCACCTGGGTGATCTGCTGCAGCAGGCTGTGGAGGCAGTGAGTGGCCCTGCGGGTGGGCGGGGGCGGGTGAAGCGGGCAAGTGGTGGGGCGGTTTTTGGGCACTCGGTCTCTAAAACGTTCGCCATCACTGAGATATATCATGCAAATATTTTCCCCATATTGCAAACAATCCCTTATTAGTCTGAACTGCACATTCTCTAAGCATCTACAAGCAAAGAAAGGGGCATTGTGGTTCCATTCCAGACATTCTGTGTATTAATTGAACATTAAATTGCCAGACATTGAGACTGAATCCAGTAGTGACTTCTAGAGAAGAAATAGCAAATTGAAAGCAGCTCTACTAAAAGTAAAATCAATGATTTTTGCCGGCAGAATAAAGAGCCGGCAAATAGACCAGCTCTTCACAATCCCTTTCTGAAGGAGAGGACTTGAGATTGCCCACAAGTGCTTCGGATAGTTGTTCCTTATGAGGAGATTGTAGGACAGGAGTCTCCAGTGAGTTTAAAGATTTAGAAATTGGAAGGATTACTAAAGATTACCCTGAATGGAGAAGCATATTTAAATCTGACTTACTAAATCAGAATGAAGCAAAATATTTTAATATTGGACATACTAAATTATATTTTTGAATAATGGACTCAGAAGTTAAATTTAAGAATGTCTGCTTCTATAGATAGACTATGTTTTTAAAAAGTTATGGTAGAGGAAGAGGTTTTACCTGACAAAATTGAAAGTGAATTAAGTAGACTTAAAAATGATAGGGTACAAAATGATAAAGAAAAAGATGCTCCTCTGGCATAGAAAAGGAACTGACTGATATTTTAGTAATTAAAAGATATATTCAATTAATTAATTGGGTTTTTTTCCCACATTTTTGAACGGCCCATCTTTCTCAAATAATCTCAAAGGGAGATTATTTTCATGTATTGTATTTCCAAAAAATGTTAAAGATGTGAAGAACTTTGTGAGAAGAGACAAAAAATGAAAAGAAATTAAATTTTAGGACATTATGTGAACGTGATAAAGATCAAGATTGCTAAAAATAGAAGGGAAATATATAAAGTTGGTTTATTTGATTAAAGTTAAAATAGATATGTTGTTATCTCTGGTAATCCTTAACTTTTGATAACCAGGACTGAAACTTTTGATAATCTGGACTGAATCAAAGAGACTTTAAAAATTTGTTTATAGATAAGAACTTTGATATGGAAAGAAGAGGTCATTAGTTGTATTTTAAGACAAGTGATAAATTACTAAAATTGTTTATATTTGTTGTGATGAAGGGAGAAGTCATTGCTTTATATATTTATATATATATACATATATTTCTCTATTTTTATTTTCTGTACCTTATATTTTTTATTATTTTCTTTGTTTTTAGTTTGTATTAGTTTTTAACCTTTCAATTTTTAATTTTTAATAAAATTACTTTTTAAAAAAAAGAGACTGAAGGCAGCAACATAATCCTGCTTCTGTATTTCAACTGGGCCTGAGTTCTGCATCAAGAATGTCTGTATAGAGTTATTTAGTTGCTATGTGGTTTGTATCATCTTTCTGACAGATTTTCACAGAGATTAGCTATCATTTTACAACCAAGCATTGATAGTGCCAAAATGTCGTTTTCACTGACTAGTTGTTGAGGACAATTTAATGCACAATTAAGATATATCCAAGAGACAGTATCTTCTAATGTTCGAACAAATGTAAAATAGGTGACAATTTGACTTATTTTTACTGAAAAAAGAATTGATGCAACGATGCAATTAACAAAACTTTTTAGCTTTTAGGCATCTTCCAGTGTACCTCTTGATCGGGGTGTCAAACTCAATTTCATTGAGGGCCGCATCAGCATTGCAGTTGCCCTTGGGGGCCTGGGTGGGTGTGGCCAGGGTGAGTGCGGCCTACTGGGTGGGTGTGGAGGAGTGGGTGTGGCCTACTGGGTGGGCATGGCCAGCTCTACATTGTTCGCATCAATGGTGCCTGTGGGGGCCTGGGCAGGAGTGGGACAGATCTGAGGGTCTCTGGCAGAAGGGGGTGGGACCAGGGCAAGTGCCAAGACATGGTCCACTGGAGGAGCCTCACTGTTCCTCTCAGGCCATGTGGGGAGGCTGGATGGTGGTGCGGGCTGCCCGGAGCCCTGGGCAGCAGAGGTCAAATGCCCAGCCTGGCCCTCGAGCACCTGTGGCACCAAGCCCAGCCCCATTTCCCCAAGGGGGTGCCCAGCTGCACTTACCTCCTCCTCAAGGCTGCTGCTGCTGTGCTTGCTCTCCTTAGCCAGGTTGTTCATGATGGGTACCAGGGCAAAGTCAGAGGGAGACTGTATGTGTTTCAGCATAGATGGCCACCACAAAATTGTACATTGGCTCCCAGCTGGCCGGCCTGGGCCAGGGCCAACGCAGTGGGGGCCGTTCCTTCACTGTTTCGCGGGCCACATGAAACCACTTAGCGGCTGCATCTGGCCCCCGGGCCTTGTGTTTGACATGTCTGCTCTTGATGCTTGAACAAGTGACTTTGGAGATAAACTTTGATCTCCTTGGGTAAATGAAAGCACATAGCAAGAATGAGTGTGAAAGTTTATAAGCAATGTCCAAATATGTTCCCGTCTTTCCACTCTCTTGATCTAATGTTGAAAAAACATATAATCAGGCCTAAACAGTGAACCATATTACTGTTTTGATGATGTTAGGTACATTAATGTGAGAGTTATTAAAATTCAAATAAACAGACTTTCTCTTTCAATTTCAGACTTTGGGGTTCATAAAAATACCTATTTGGGTTTGTATATGTTAATATATTTTTTAATCCATATTTTCAGTGTATTTCATCTTTCTCTACAGAAATGTGATGTGCTTTGGGAAGATTTTCACCAAAAGCTGGTAGATGGGTCACTACTAACTTTGGATACATATTTGGGACAGTTTCCTGATATAAAGGTATATCATGCCACTATGTGTCTTAGGTTAAATACTTAGAAATAGAAGCAAAAATATTCTATTTGGAAAGCAGATCATTTGAGCCTTAGACTTGCCAGCCTCTGTTCATGCATCATAATATTCTATAAAAGCTTTCTTCCAGAAGAAATTACCAGAAGACAGACAAGGAGAATTGGGTATTGATCCCTTTGGCTAAAAGGCGTTTCCTTAGAAATTTACCCTTAACATTAAATGTTGATAAGTCTGGGGATTCTAGGTAGGATGGAGACAAATGGCTTTATTGTTTTGTTTTGCCTTTGCACAAGATGTGACTAAATTTTGAAATACTTAAATAAGGCTGGTAATGTGCCTGATGTTCACTCAATTCTTGTGACTCCAAAGAGTGGAAAATTGCAGCAGAGATTCTGCCCCACTCACACAGCAGTCTTATATTTCTGGACCCCTTGTACCAGTTCCAGGTGTATCACATTTATCTCTTGAGCCAGATCAAAGCTGACATCATCTGGGTTTCTTTATGGTATACCACAATCTGATTTATATACCGTTTATTTCTTTGGAGGTGGGGCGTGTTTGTGAATGGAAGATGACTTGTTTTAAGTCCAAATAAACCATTTGTGGATGGCTATACAATTCCTCTGGTTTATCCAATAATATTTTGCATAGAAACTTTCTAGATTGTCATGAACATTAATGGAACAAAACTGATAAAGGGATTTGCTAGTGTTTTGTTCTAGGATTACTAAATCTTTAGCATGTTAACTACATACCTTTGTCAAGGCATACACTACTACTTTATGTTCTCCTAACATTTGGAATAGTACATTTTTTACTTTCTTTACTTTTAATTACTATATTTGGCTAATGAGTGTATTCACCAACCTGATTGGTCAATGAGTTTTGTGTTTAATGTCTTTGGGTTTTTTTAATCTGACAAGTAGTAAGTTGTCTTATAGTATCAGCACTTTGAGGTAGAGCGAGGCAAGAAGCATATCCTAGCTCCATCTGTATTGCAAGGCTACATTAACAAATTGTTGCAAGTCTGAAAATACACTTTTCCTCCCTAATTTTTACAGTCCAAACTAGGTAGGATCCATTCTGAAATGTTTGCTATGCTTCTATTCTTTCTGTGGGCTCAGCTGCCTCTTCTCTGACCATTGCATAGTCTGTGGCTTTTCCTCCTATCTGCCAAGGTCATTCCCACATATTGTTACACCTAGACCTTTCATTGATGAATGTTCTTAAAACATTTTGCTGCTCTGTTTGAGTCTAATTTTGGAATTAAATGTTTGATTTTTAATATTAAGACTATTCTATTGTTTCCATTATTTTGCATGTTTTATGTGTAATACTATTTTAATCCTTATAACAAATGAGTAATAGCAATAAAAGTACTATTTTTAACAGCTGAAGTATTCTTTTGATTATTTTTGTTGATTTATATACATTGCTGAAAAGTAGGAACCGAATACTTTAGTGATGGTTTTATTTTATTTTTTATCTTTGGAGAAGATTTCATATGTTTTCAATAAAGTCTGGGGCAGCAAATTTTAAAATGCATGTTAAATATGATATGAAATTTTAGAAGTTCAGCCTAGGGGAAACAAAGTCTGCAAGGTTTTGAAAATGTGTGTTTGCTTTAGTCAAGTTTTCAATTTGAAAAATACAATCTATATGCCTGGATTTTTTTTAAATAAAAATAACCCCTACATTTGTGGTTCTCTTTATCATTTTAATTTCATAACAATTTTTCAAGGCATGCTAGGGAGAGAGAAAATGATAGTTCAGATGTCTGAATGACAAAAGGGGACTTGAATCTGGGTCACCTTGGTTCCACTTCACATGCACCACCCTGATTAGTTTTTAAGTGATGGAAGAAACTCATAATATTTTTTAAAGCAGAAAAGTTCTTTTCAGATACCTTTTATATATTATATTATATTATATTATATTATATTATATTATATTATATTATATTATATTATATTATATTATATTATATTATATTATATTATATTATATTATATTATATTATATTATATTATATTATATTATTATATTATATTATATTATATTATATTAATTATATTATATATTATATTATATTATATTATATTATATTATATTATATTATATTATATTATATTATATTATATTATATTATATTATATTATATTATATTATATTATATTATATTATATTATTATACTGTACTGTACTGTACTGTATTGTATTATATTAATTATATTGTATTATATTATTATATTATTATATTATATTTATTATATTATATTATATTATATTATATTATATTATATTATATTATATTATATTATATTATATTAATTATATTATTATACTGTACTGTACTGTACTATACTATACTATACTATACTATACTATACTATACTATACTATACTATATTATATTGTGATTGTGATTGTGATTGTGATTTTTGACTTGGATATCATTATTTACAGATTCGCATTGCAAAGCGGAGCAGGAAACTAGTGGACTATGATAGTGCAAGACATCATCTAGAAGCCTTGCAAAGTTCTAAAAGAAAAGATGAAGGGAGAATTTCCAAGGTGAGAGAGAGAAAGAGATGGAACAATATTATAATCTTTATAAGATATGCAGGGAATGAATGACATTAAGTGTTGTTAAGTTGTGTCGTATCATTTGCTTGGGCCACCAATATTCCAAGGAATGATGCTGGTGAGATAGGAACACTATTGGTAGAAAGAACTGTTATCTTAATATTGGGCAGATGCTCGTCAAGGCCAAGAGACAAATCCTGGATGATATTGATTCAGAAATGCAGGAGGATATCTGCAAGCCTTCACTTGAGTAAACCATATATTGAATAAGAGATTAGTGTGAGCCAATCAGATTAAATATCACTAGTTGCAGTACATTGATAGTATATCAGAGATAGCCAATGATTAAGATAAATGACATCTAGATCATGCCTCTAGGATTAGCATTTTGAAATAAAGTAGCATTTTTCTCTTCAACATTGCACTGAAAATGAATACAGAATGTGGATGACACATCCCTGAGTTCTGAGTTTAAACAGATTCAGATATAATTTTGTGGGAGGTGCTTCCTGGATATATTAGATTATAAAGGAGCTTTACTCCTGGTACAAGTAGCTTGTTACTGTCTTCAGTTTTAACAAACTTTTGATTTGTTTTTCAACTTTTCAGCCCAGCCTACACTGCTGAAATCCTTTTGTGATCTTCTATCCTAATGCTAATAGGACTCTGTTTAATCTTGGGAAAGCATGACAGTTACAATCCAACACTTACAAAAGACAGCATGTTCGCGAAAGCTGATAAAGTTCTTGGAGTAATATCAAAATTTCATCACATATCAAATCAAATATAATTGATGACTTCATAAAACCTGTAGAGATTAATGTCAGAAAACCTTAGCATAGTTGTGAATTAGATATCTGTAGGATTTTTTTTTTTTGCCATTTTCAAATAAGATTACAGAACACTGGCTCTCGCTTACATGAAAGAGGAAATTTGCAGGTTGTCAATTTATTTTTGCTCTACTTTCCTACTGATTAAGTAGTTAAAATTGTGCCAAGGAGGGATAGAGATGTGCTTCAAGATTTCTGTATCAGAGCTCAAAATGATTGACTTGGGATGCTCTTCACTTTGGTAATGGAAGTAAAAGCATCACTTGCTGTGCAGCCTTAGGAGACAAAATTTCTTGATCTGACCTGTTTTAAATAGTTACTGTTTGTGAAGAGAATAGTATTTATAAGATAGTAGCACATGGGAAGAGAAGGCTTAATGTTTTCCTTTACAGCTATGATTTCTGCCTGCAAAAAAGAAAGAAAGAAAATCACATTTGGTAGAGCTGTAAGTTTTCTTTTAAAAAGTTCTCATAGGTATTAAATGACATTTTCTCTTTAAAGCTTTATTGCCATCCAGTTATTTTAAGGGATTAGGAATGCAGAAAGAAGGGATAAGTGACTAACATATGCACAATTGCAAATTTGTTGTGATTCTGAGTCAGCTCATTTACAACAGTAACTTTTTCTTTTTAAAGATTTGATTGTAAGATGTCCCTAGAATTTAGGTTTGGCTCTAGACTCAGCAACTTCAGCTAAGTGTAACCAAGCCAGTAACATGCTACTCACATTCTGAGTCACATTCAGATGGCTTCCAATATACCCCCTTATAATAATTATCAGCAATTTAAGAAAAATTAAAAAATATTGACCTCATACAATAATGAATAAGTCTTAAATTCATTCAGATTTAAAGTAAGGAAGTTGGAATCTCATTAGATCTCAGGAGTAAGATTAAAAAAATCTCATTAAGTTTAATGCTGTCATGATATTGGCAGATTCTTTAATTTTCTTTTCTCTTTTGTTTGGTCCCTGACATCTGAAAAAAATAGTTAACCTCTGGATTAAGCTCTCAGATTGACTGCTTTTGTCCTTAATAGGAGTACAAACCCAAAGAAATCCCACCAGAAACAATATGTTGCATTGTTCAGAACTGTTTTGTTTTGTTTTTTCCCAAAAAAGTTTGCTAGGTATTTCACTTTGTTGTAGGCAGAAGAAGAGTTTCAGAAAGCACAGAAGGTATTTGAAGATTTTAACACTGATTTGCAAGAAGAACTACCATCTTTATGGTCAAGGTATATTGTTTGGAAAGTTATGTCCTTCATCTTTTTATTTCCCAAAAGCTTTTTAAAAATTAAATTGTTGTTTCTCTATGATCTTTTAATGGCATCTTTGTACCCTATGTAACTATGATTCAAAAGTGGAGCTTGTTGAGAAACTAAATCTTAATTTTATTTTCATTAAGTGTTAGAGACATCTTAGATCTAACTCAATGAGGGAACAAACAAAAATAATGAAAACAAAAGGGCGAACCTTGTGCTTCCATAGTTGCTTCATTGATATCCATTTTGTAGAGCAAGCCCAAGCAATAGGGATCTGCCCTATGGAGATAAATGTATCTAAAGAAAGCTTAACTTAAGCTTAGTATCATGCTAGAAATTTGCAAAGAAGGAGGTTGTTTGCCCATTCAAGTTATATATCTAAATTATATGTGTTTTACATTTTCAGGATTCTTTGAATAAGAATAAATATGCTGTGTCATATACAATAAGCGGTTTTTCTTTCTTTCTTTACAAACTTTTCATCTTTACCTGTCATTTCTACTTAGGCGCGTGGGCTTCTACGTCAACACATTTAAAAATATCTCCAGTCTGGAAGCCAAATTTCACAAAGAAATAGCTTTGGTGAGTAAATATAGATATATAGATGATATAGAGATAGAGAGAGATATAGATAGATAGATAGATAGATAGATAGATAGATAGATAGATAGATAGATAGATAGATAGATAGATAGATAGATAGATAGATAGATAGATAGATAGATAGATAGAAATACAATGTAGAAGTAACGTAGGAAAAAGATATGAATTGGATTAAAATATAAAGCTGACAAGAAGTACATATTTAATCTGTAACTGCAGCAGTCTCTTTTTGTGAGTAAAAATTATTGCTCTAATTATAATTATTGAAGAAGACTAGACTAATGCTAAAATTAGTATAGCAATATTCATCATTTGTTAAGTTGATTCCTTGACTTTGTTGTTGCCCAGATTGTGTGGTTAACCCTGTATCTTGCTTGTGCTGGTTCTTTTTTATATCAATTCCTATGTTTGTTTGTTTGTTTTTCTTGGTTCTTTTTCCATTAGCCACCAGAGTGATATACTTGAGATGGACACTCATGTAGAATGAATGAATGAATGAACAAATGAATGAATGAATGAATGAGAACTTACTGGATGATATGATAATAATAAAACAAGTAAGCTTTCAGCAATTGGAATTTAAGAGAAGAGTTATGCTTCTCAAGCCAAAAAACAACAACAACAACCTATGAATGATTTTGAACTTACTTCGTACAATAAAGCAAGATGAGCTTATTAGCATAATCATAAATGTCAGCCTAGATTACAGGTGGACCTTGACTTATGACTGTAATGGAGTCTGCCCATTATGGTCACAAGTCATGATCATCTCACTTAACAAGTCTCATTTCCACGTCCTCCTCAGAGTCTCCACAGTCTTGGGCCTGCTTTGCCACTCCACCAAATCCCATGCCTTCCTTTTCACCCCCATCACCCATCATGCACTTATCTTATGCAGCTCTCCAGAGTTTCAGATATCTGCAGAAGGCAAGTGACCTACACCCCCAACCTCCAATCTCTCACTTACCATTTATTTATTTAATAATAATTAATTAGCTGCCCATCTTACTACAAGGTAACTCTGGGCAGTTTACAATATTAAAAGATAAAACTATATAAATAAAATACTCCAAAAATATAAAAATATAAAATACAATAGCTAAAAGTTGGGGAGGGAGGGAGTAGAATGAGCAGGTGGGATCCGATATTAATCTGTCAACCATCTCCAATGTGAAGCCTCCTTTTTGGAGCCCCAAGACAAGTTGCAGAGCTCTTGCACAAGACTGGGAGAGTTGGAGCAGAGCTCACTCCAGGGTGCAAGGTGTTCCAAAGCGCAGGGGCAATGGCAGAGAAGGCTCTTCTCCTGGATCCTACCAGCCAGAATACCCTAGCTAATGGGGCCTGCAGTATGCCTCTTCTGCTTGCATGATTAGGATGGGCCAATCTCAATGAGATGAGACAGTCCCTCAAGTAATGTGGACCTATGCCATAAAAGGCTTTAAAGGCGATTACCAACACCTTAAATTGCATCCAGAAGCAAACCAGCAGCCAGTGTAGCTCACAGAGCAGTGATGTTACATTGGCCACCCCTTGGGGCCCCAAGCACTGCCTGTGCCACTGCACTCTGTACCAGCTGTGGCTTCTGAATGCTCTTCAAGGGTAGCCCCATGTACAGACTGTTGCAATAGTCCAGCCATGAGATGATTAGGACTTGAATGACTGAGTGCAGGACTCCTGATTTTGTAGATCTCCAGAGCTTTGGTGTTCATATTGGAGAAGGGGAGCAGGCCACTCCACCTTTCATTCTCCCTAGGCTGTGTGATATGGTCCCAGAAACACCATTTTCTGGGACTGCGCCATGCAGCCTCAGGGACACTAAGGGATAGAACTCATGTTGAAGAGGGAAAACATGCCACTCCACCCCCTTGGAATCCCTGCAAACTACATGCCATGGTTCTGGAGGCAGGTGGCACAATTAATTGCAGCTGCTGTGAAAATGATGCCCACTTCTGGGACTGTGTCACACATGAATGCAAGTTTTGAAGCTCCAGAGATGTTCCAAAGGTAATCAGTGTTTGGGGGGTGGAGGGAAAGGTGTGGGAACCAGTAAGGTGGAAAGCATGCCCAAAATCTGTGGGGGCCTGGTGGGAAGAGGGATCTGGGTCATAAATAGCTTTTGAGGCATCATCGTAACTTCAAATGGTTGGTAAGGTCATAGACTGAAGACTACCTATACCCCTCTTTTCTCAATGACTGGACTATGTTACAGTGGTGCACTATTGGAAGGCTTGAGATCACCACAGAGATAATCTGTGTCCTTGCTAAGAGTTGACACAGATTTGATGGCACATAATAAATCAATCATTTTATAAACTATTTTTTGATTAATGTAGTTAGTAAAATGAAGCTCCATGTTTAATAGTCACAGAGTTTTTTGTTTGCAAATACATAGTGTTTGGTGTATTTGTTTGGTGTATGTGTTGGTAATCTACTGATGATGATGATGATATTATTATTATTATTATTATTATTATTATTATTATTATTATTATTATTATTATTATTATTAATAATAATAATAATAAAGTTGGAAGGGACCTTGGAAGTCATCTAGTCCAATCCCCTGCTCAGGCAGGAAACCCTATACCATTTCAGACAAATGGCTGTCCAGTCTCTTCTTAAAAACTTCCAATGTTGGAGCATTCACCTCTTCTGGAGGCAGGTTGTTCCACTGGTTAATTGTTCTATCTGTCAGGAAGTTTCTCCTTAGTTCTAGGTTGCTTCTCTCTTTGATTAGTTTCCATCCATTGCTTCTTGTCCTGCCTTCAGGCACTTTGGAGAATAGCTTGACTCCCTCTTCTTTGTGGCAGCCCCTGAGATATTGGAACACTGTTATCATGCCCCCCCCCTTGTCCTTCTCTTCATTAAACTAGACATACCCAATTCCTTATATGTTTTAGCCTCCAGTCCTCAAATCATCTTTGTTGCTCTTCTCTGTTCTCTTTCTAGAATCTCAACATCTTTTCTACATCGTGGTGACCAAAACTGGATGCAGTATTCCAAGTGTGGCCTTACCAAGGCATTGTAAAGTGGTATTAACACTTCATGTGATCTTGATTCTCTCCCTCTGTTAATGCAGCCTAGCACTGTGTTGGCCTTTTTGGCAGCTGCAGCACACTGCTGGCTCATATTTAGGTGATTGTCCACTAGGACTCCGAGGTCCTTCTCACAGTTACTACTATTGAGCAAGGTACCCCCTATACTATACCTGTACATTTGGTTTTTCTTGCCTAAATGTAGAACCTTGCTTTTTTCACCATTGAATTTCATTTTGTTAGATAGTACCCAGTGTTCCAAGTCTGTCCAGATCCTTCTGTATCTTAAGCCTGTCTTCTGGAGTGTTGGCTATTCCTGCCAGCTTGATGTCGTCTGCAAATTTGATGAGTTTCCCATCTATCCCCTCATCCAAATCATAGCTGAAGATGTTGAAGAGCACTGGACCTAGAACAGAGCTCTAGGGCACCCCACTACACACTTCCCCCCATGTAGATGCAGTTCCATTGAGGACCACACACTGAGTATGGCTGGTCAGCCAGCTATAAATCCATCTGGTGTTGATGCTGTCTAACCCACATTTTTCTATCTTATCAAGTAGTAGGTTGTGATCTACTTTATCAAATGCCTTATTGAAGTCCAAGTAAATTATATCCACAGCATTCCTCTGGTCCACTAATTTTGTCACTTGGTCAAAGAATGCAATAAGATTTGTCTGGCATGATCTGTTTTTGACAAACCCATGTTGGCTTTTAGTAATGACTTTGTTTGCCTCTAGGTGTTTGCTGATTCATTGTTTGATTATCTTTTCCAGAATCTTCCCAGGTATTGAGGTCAGGCTGATAGGTCTGTAGTTTCCTGGGTCTATTTTTTTCCCTTTTTTGAAGATGGGACTACATCAGCTCTTTTCCAGTCCTCTGGTAGTTCCCCAGTGCTCCAGGATCTTTGAAAAATATAGTTCAGTGGTTCTGAAATCACATCTGCCAGTTCCTTGAGAACCTTGGGGTGTAATCCATCTGGTCTTGGTGATTTGAACTCATCTAGGCTGGACAGGTGCTCACTTATTATTTTCTTGCTTATCTTAACTTGTGTGTCTATTCTGTTTTTTATGGCACTATTTTTGATAGATTGGTCTGTTTTTTCCCTTTGTGTAAAGACAGATGCAAAAAACAAGTTAAATAGTTCTGCTTTCTCCCTGTTGCTTGTCACCTTCTTGCCACTTTCCCCCACTAATGGACCAATCATTTTCTTAACTTTTTTTCTTGTTTTTTACATGTTGAAAGAAGCTTTTTTTGTTATTTTTTACTTTGGTCGCAAACCTTAGTTCATTTTGAGCCCTAGGGCAGGGGTCCCCAACCCCCGAGCTACTGCTCACTACCTGGCTCTGAGCCAATTAGAACTGGGCTCGAAAGTGGCAAGCACGCTCACGCATGCATCTTCTCTTGCACAAGCGGTGGCCGAGCTCATGCAAACGTGTTCACACGTGTGCTTGCCCACCATTTGCACAAAACCATCCCCTCTCCTCCTCCCCTAACGGAAATGTTGGGGAACTCTGATTTAGGGTAATCTAGATTGACTGATTAGTTAGATTTGACCTGGGATATTCAGATATTAGTTGATAATTTTAAAGATATTGTTATTGTTGCATCAGATTGGTTTAGCTGTTTATCAATTAGTCAGAATAGATCTGGAAGGGATCTAGGACATCTATTAGTCCAACCCTCTGCTCAAGTAGGAGACCCTATACAATTTGAGATAAATGGTTCTTTTCTTAAAAATCTCCAGTGATGAAGCACCTACAATTTCTGAAAGCAAGTCGTTCCACTGGTTAAGTATTCTCACTTAGGAAATTTCTCTAGAATTCTCCTTAATTCCAGGTTGCTTCTCTCCTTTGTTTCCATCCATTGTTTCTTGTCTTGCCTTCTGATGCTTGGCCCCCTCTTTTTTTTGGCAGCCCCTCAAATATTGAAATACTGCTATCCACTGTTCTCCACTTTCTCAGGTTCAAACTGTTCCCAGATAACTTGGCAGGACTCTTCTCCAGGCATCTTCTCTGGACCTGGAACAAGGCCAGCACCCAACTAGGAACAAATCCAGTCAATTTTATCCAAAAGAAGCTACAAAATTCCTCCACATGCCTCTTTTAGAGTTTCTCTATGCCCAACAGGGCATCCAAAGTAGGACTGCAGGGGGGCAATCTGCAGATGCAATAAGGGTAGAGAAGTACTGGTACTTCACTGCCTTTATTGCTACAAGGTAGGCCTTAATAGCAGCGCTGATCCATGGTCAAGTTTGTCCTTCACTGAATACCAAATTAACTAGATTGTGATAGTTTTATCAGTGTATCTATTTTCTATCTTAGTAGATTCAATGTTAATTGATTTGAATATTAAATTGAAGTCATTCTCAGCTTCAGAGTGATGCCACATATATTGCACAGTATTAATAGCTATAAAGGCAGTTTTATAAATATCAGGTAAGCAACTGCACAAGGAATCATAGTTGATTTCTGCTGGCCATTTTAATTTTGTATTTTCAGATTTCAACCCTGGAAAAGAAGGCATATTTAGATCTGATGCAATGAAGATCTTTACAAATAAATTTCACTGCTGTAACATTTATTATGTTGGCCTTAATTTTTTTCTTCAAGTCAGTTGTATGTCTATATAGAAGATTGAATAGTAAGTAAAGATTTTGGGGTTCTGGCCCCCAAAAGCATATCTCCCCAATGACGAAAAGCCTCATGTAACAAGGTCCCTCTTGAATATGGTACTTCAGGTTGAGTGGAAGAAAGGTAATTGGAGTGCAATATAGCTGTTTCTTCTATGCTGCATCAGAAGAATTGAACCCCATTAAAATATCTCCTCTCCTCTTCAGTCACTCCAAGTATTTCTCTTTCTTCTCTTCTCATTAAAATACATTAATGAACACAGCACAAGCTATCCTCAAATTTCAGATGAGTGAAATCTTCCATACTAATTATATGGGCTGTAAATATTTGGATAAACACTAGATGGCAATGGTAATTTCATGGTTTAATTTGCTGCCATCTACTGATCATCTGGAGTTGCTGCTCAAATTTATTAAGCCAATTTTCTTTCCTCTTATTACCTCACAAAGAAGGAGGAGGAAAATGAATGGACGATTGGCAGCAGTTTCCTAGAAAGGTATCCATACCCCACTTCTAGTGCATATTCAGGCTTTTATTGCAACAATAAATTTAGTACTAGAAGAAGAGGAGGTGATAGTGCCAGCACCCTCTCATTCCCTCTCATTCTCTCCTTTTTTCTATGCTGCTGCTGTTCTGAGATAGCTCCAAATCCCTGCTTGGGCTACTGTATCTGTGCTACAAATATCTGAACAACATTAGATGTGGCAACAAAGAGAAGTATAAATTCATAGCCCTTTAATGCACTCTATTGGTTGTCTGGATTTTGCCATTCAGAAATGATAGCCTACTCCATGCAATCAAATTTGTTGAAGGTGTGGGGTAGGAACTAAGCAGCAAGAGAGAGCCCAGTAGACTCCCCATGCTTGTGGACTCTCTTCTAGCCTTTCCTATATATTGTAGATAACATAACAGATTTTGTTAGGTTTTAGAATTCATTAAAGCACCCTATTTAACCGAAACTTGAGGTTCATAACCCCAAGGTGCTAAATCTGAAAAATGTCTTTATTCTGATTTATATAAATGACACCAAGCATTAATTGATTTTTATAAATCATTTTTTCATTGAATCATCCCAGCAAACAACAAACTCTTGTTTAGTACATTATAAGTATTATGTGTGAAATTTTGCATTTGTGTAATTTGTAATTTGTGTGACTGTGATAATGTCCCATATTTTAAATTGTGTTTAAACTTAGTTCCATTGTATGAAAAAAATAACAGTTTTGGTTCCCTCCACCACTACTAAAATAGCTTTGTTAAAATGACAGTTTTGTTGTGGATTTTTTCCTCAGCTCTGCCACAAACTTTATGAAGTGATAACTAAATTGGGAGAGCAGCATGCTGACAAGGCCTTCACAATCCTTGGAGCACCCAGGTAAAAATCTTTTATCAAACTGCAGCTAAATGTACAAATAATATGACCTGATTAGACAGAGTAAAATAAATCAGTGGATAGTAAACAATTTGTTTATTGAATATGTGTGTTCATCTTTTATATCAGTCCTTATCTGTGCATTAAAAGGACACTAGTTGTTAGAAATTCAATATAATTTTGTAAAAGTAAATTATGTGTTACGCTGGAAAGAGGTTGGATGTTTACTAGAGACAATTAAGGGACCCATTCTTTGCAAGTTCCACTGTCACTGGTAATTTCCAATACATGTGCAGTTCAGTATGCAGTTATCTGGATTTCTCAGTTCCCCAGATTTTGGCAGCTCAAAGGAACTAAAATAAAGATAAAGCTATATACGTGTACTGTGTTTGGAGATAATTTATTAATAATGCATTGTTTTCTGAAAAAATAATTGTAATATGTATATTGAAATGCAATTTTTCATATTCCTTTTTGTAAAAATATAAATGATGGAATGCATTCAGCTGGGAAATGAATAGAGCCTACAAGCTGAGGGAGCATTTCAGTTACTGCTTTCCTTCATTGAGGTTATATCTTCTCCTGATTGTGGTCTCTGATTTCCAAATGTGGGGTTTATGCCTGGACAGAGAAGCTTCTAGAGTTTGGTGGGAATCACACAGCCCAAATACTAGGTATGGCTCCTATCAACAGTAATTTCAGCAAATTTCCTTTAAGGTGTTCTTCTGTCTAAGTTATTCTGGCAATGGAGGCTCAATCTTCCACCCTAATCTAGTATTATAATCTGGACTTCTTAGAGAGATACGGCTCCTAGAGGGATACTGCTCCTTTCTTTGGTTTGATAGCAACCAGATATTCCTTAGGTATAAAACTCATTCATAATAAAAAAAGAATTAATTTCTTACCTGTGACTGCAGTTCTTGAGATGATCATTTTGTAATTCATGCAATCTACCCATCTAATTAAGACGGTAATTTTATAGTTCCCTCGGTTTGCTCAATTAGTCTTAAGAACTGAAAGATCTTGGTAAGAACTGTGGTTAGTCATATGATTACAGGGATGGGGGGTATCTAGGCTCTGATCAATATCAACTGTAGATTGGGAGGCCAGAAATCATCTGGAAAATGATACTTTGATAAAGCTGCCAAGAAAACTGGATGAATGTATTCATGAAATCACTAGGAATCAAAGCTGAATCAGAAGAAACTTGTTAACGGTCTGCATTAGACAAGGTTCAAAAGGAATACAATGTGTCTATCTACTCAAGGCAAAATGCAGTTATTGTAGGCGCTAGCTAGAGACAAGCTTTTATTTCCTCATTGAACTTTTGCCCTTAAACTTTTACTGAAACAATCTGAAACAATTTGTCCTTTCACATGTTATTTTATTTATCGGTATGCTGTGAGCATATCTAAAGTTAGACCAGTTTCATTGATATCATAACTTTAACTATTAGTAAATAGTTAATCCTTTTCCTTCCTTCTTCAAATTTTCAAATGGGAGGAGGAGGTGAATGTTTTCAAAAAACACAAAGGAAATTAATTAAAAAACAAAAAAGTTTTCTTAATCATTTGGTTTTCTATTTCTTTATATGTCTAAGTATGATATTATTAAATGATATAATGCACAACGAGCAGTAGAATACTTAAAAAGATTAAGGGCATGGTCAAAATGAAACTATCTTGCAAATTTCCCCCCTGATAAAAGTGTTTGCAATAGTTTTATTAGACATATTGGGAACTCTACAAGATACATTCATTATGGATTTGTTTTGTGTCATGACTGGTTTGCTGAATGACAATGTACTGATGCTATTTAACTGGCTGCATCATGTTTCCTCAACCAAGATGGGTTGGTCTTCAACTACTTTGATGCCTACCAGCATGACTATGGGGATTGTTCAGACTGGTTTGTGATTATGGGAAGCAAAGTCTATTCTATCAGCAGGCTAAGTGAAGAATGGCTTATATAAATCTTGATTACCTGGAATTGGGAAACCATTCAAATATTTTTAACAAGAAAAAAAAATTAAAGCAGCATCTAAGTAAATCATTGAAAGGCTTGAAGGTGAATGAGTTCAAAACTATATTGCACTTTATGAAAGCACATCTCTTTTGCACCAGGCATGTTTGCACAGGAAATATTTATAAATCCTATGAAGTCTCTTATAGGTGTAACTTCCTTCAAAATTAGAGACAAATAGAATAAGAAAAAAAGATAACGTTTCCTTCTTTCTTTTATTAAAACTTGCTCTTTTATATTTCTTCTTTTTCCATAGAAAGAGGTGGTGAGTGAACACCAAGGTTTTTTGTATTTTAAAAATGATATTGCTCTGCTTTAGTATAGAAAACATGATTGAAATTTGAACAATCATGTATTACTTTAGTGCTTCACAAAGATGTTGAAAACTACATTTCTTCTTATTGAGTGTGATGCTTTTAGAATACAATAGCTGCATGTACCATCAAAATGTAACATTAGTATTTTTATAAATTATAAATCTTAGGAGGTTTTAGATAGCAAAATGATACTTAAATGTTTGGCTCTTTAGCAATGAAACTATAGTCCAGTGAAACTTTACTAATTAAGTGACTAACTCAATGGTTTTCATTTCCAAATATATTTCTTATTATTAGCTTAAAAGCCAAGGGCTGTAATGATGCTTCATAATGAAATGTATATTAAAAATAGGACATGAAATAGAAATGGTAATATGGAGACATATACAGAAATGATATTTTCTAATAAAATCTGGTGAGTGTTGATATTCAGAAGTGAAAGCAAGCAATGCTATATAATCAAAGATTATGCTCAGAGATGTAATCTGAATGTTGATTCTTCACATGTCAGTTCATGAAAAATGAAAAAGTAGGTGTTTCTTTGTAGATGTTCATAATATTAAGGGTTCACGTTCATTTCATTTAGTATAATATAGAAAAGTTGTCTAGTACAAACAAAGTTATTAAATCACTTGTCATAGATAATAAGGATTTTCAGAATTTGGGAGAACAAGGAGCCTAAAAAATCAAAATCTAAGCAAATATAGGATTGGTTTCTAGGATTTATTGTATTTTATAGATAACATAAATAAATTAAATATTTTTATTTTCTTTTGTAAGTGGAAATCTGTAGGTTTAGAAATGTCCCCAGATGTTCCTTGAGAATGAGTATATATATTAACATTTTGCATTCCTCTAGCGATTCTGGTCCACTCCGCATTGCAAAAACTCCATCACCACCTGAAGAGGCTTCCCCACCACTTAGTCCTGAAGCGAATGCAAATCATACATTGGCAACCCCGAGTTCTCCAGCACCTGCACGCCCTAAATCTCCTTCACAGGTAACAATTCAGATAATATTTTGGCACTGTATCTTTTTCCAATAAGCCTTTGCTTTGTCATATGTCCACCAAACATGATAATACGTGCCTGAGTTATGCTTACATTTCCAACATCTATCTGACATATTTTTAAACATTTTTGCTAATCTTGCTGGTGGCAAGTGCCATCTGCAAAACATTTTATATAAATTTTCTTTGTATGAAGTTGATATTGTCAATTTATAATTTATCTCTCATAGCTTTTGCCACTTTTCTAATTCTATATTATAATCAAAGTTTTTCACCCATCTTATCATTGTTTCTTTAACTTAATTTCCGTTTCCAAAATTAACAAAAAATTATACATTTTCTTAATTAATTTCTCATCTGAGGTTAACAAAATCTTATCAAATACAGTTTGTACTTTATAAAATCCATACAGTTTCACATCTTTTTCATATCTATTTTGCATCTGTAAATGTGCCCACCATGACAAGTTGATACCCTGATTTTCCAGTTCTTGTTTAGCTTTTAAATTCCCATCAATATTTAGAATATCTCTATATGTCCAATTTTTTTTCAAAGTCTACCAAGTTTGGATGTACAAATGCTTCAATAGTTGATAACCACCCTGGAATTTTTAAATATATTTTAGCTTTAATTTTTTCCCCTACTATTAACAAAGCATTTCTTATATAGTGATTTTGGAAATACTTATGAACTCTATTTTTCCATAAAAAAGCGTGCCATCCCAATTGTAAATCATGCCCCTCCAAATATAACAACCTTTTATTTCTAAGAGTTATCCATTCTTTCACACATATTAAAACAGATGCTTGATAATACAAAGCCCACTCCGGTAACCCAAAACTTCCATTTTCCTTAGCATCTTGTAATGTTTTCATCTTAATTCTAGCTTTCTTTCCCTGCCAAACAAAATTCAAAATTAATGAGTTTAGGTCTTGGAAAAAAAAATTCTCAAGTTTTATCAGAATTGTTTAAAATAGAAATAGAATCTTCAGCAGTACATTCATTTTCACTGTAGCAATTTTCCTAATATTGACAATTGCAGATTCTTCCATCTTTCCAAGTCCCATTTTATTTGTTTGAATAATTTTATATAATTATCTTCTTTTATTGTTGAGCATTTGGCCGATAGCTGTATACCCAAATATTTAACCTTTTTCATTATCTGTACCTCTATTTTTTCTGACATTTGGTTTTTTTTTTATCTGTAAGATTCTTAACTATTATCTTAGTTTTTTCTCTATTTATTTTTAATGCCGCCATTTCTCCATACTGTTCTATCTTTCCCCATAATTTAGGGATCATCTCCAAAGGTTCTTCTAAGATAAATGCTAAATCATTAGCGAATGCTTGTAATTTATATGTTTCACCTTTTATCTCCAGTCCTTTAATTTCTGTATCTTGTCTAATATTTCTATTTAAAACTTCCAAGGTAAAAATGAATAACAGTGGGGATAATGGACATCCTTGCCTTGTGCCTTTTCTTATCTCAAAGCTCTCAGTACAGTCTCCGTTCACAATCTCTTTGGCTTTCTGTTTGTTATATATTGTTTTTATCATACTTGTAAATTTCTGTTCAAAGTCCATAATTTGTAGTTGCTGAGTCATAAATTGCCAGGAAACATTGTCAAATGCCTTTTGGGCGTCTAAAAATATTAGTGCCAATTGTTTCCCTGGGTGTAGTTCATAGTATTCTAATACGTCCATTATCACTCTTAAATTGTTTTTAATTTGTCTCTTTGGTAAGAAACCGTTTTGATCTGGATGTATGAATTCAACTAAGTATTTTTTTAGTCTCTCCGCCATTATAGAAGTAAAAATTTTGTGATCCACATTAAGCAGTGAAATCGGTCTACAATTCTTAATCTGCGTCAAATCTGAATCTTCTTTGGTATTAGAGTAATGTTTGCTTCCATCCATGTAGCCGGGAGTTTAGCATGTAACAAAAGTCCATTACAAACATCTTTCGATGGTTCACTTAGTATGTCTTGTAGATTTTTATATAGCTCCGCCGGAAGCCCATCTGGGCCCGATATTTTCCCATTTTTTTGTCTTTTTATAGCCTCTGATATTTCCATCATTGTAATCCTTTCTTCTAACATAGTTTTAAATGTCTCTGGAATTTTTGGAAGAATATTTTCTTCTAGATATTGAACAATTCTCTCTCTTGAAGTTTCCTCTTTATCATACAGTTCCTTGTAGTATTCCTTAATTATCTTTTTTATTTCTTCATTTTTGAATTGTAAATAGCCTTTCCCATCTACTAAGTTGTGAATCATTTTCTTTTCCTTCTGTTTTTTAAGTTTATAAGCTAACCATCTTCCCGGTTTATTGGCATTTTCAAAATATTCTGTTTTGCTCTCTTTATCTGTTCTGCCATTTTTTTTTAATCCAACAGGTTTAATTTATGTTTTATTATTTCCATTTCTCTTTTCAAAGTCTTTTTCCGTGGATCTTTTTGTAATTCTGATTCTAACTTTCCAAATTTTTCTTTTAATAGTACATATTGCTGTCTTCTCTGTTTATTTTTCTTTGCCATATATGTTATAGGTATACCTCTAAAGCATGCTTTGGCTGTATCCCATAGATTTTGTAATGTTGTATCTTCTTCATTTTCTTTAAAGAAGAATTCCATTTCTTTTTTTGCTAACTCTATAAATTCTCTTCTTTTACTATAGATTGATTTAAAGTCCACCTTGGTCTTTTTTGTATTCCTCTCCATGTCACTTTTAAAGGGTTATGGTCTGCCCAGGTGCCTATTTCTATCTCAATTTCCTGTGTATTCATCCTCAATTCAGACATCATCCAAATCATATCAATTCTTGACCAGGATTTTTGGCTGTTTGAATAAAAGGTATATTGTAAATTTTGTGGATTGATTTCCCTCCAGACGTCTTGTATTCCAATTTCCTCTGCCATATCAAAAAATGTCCTAGGTAATTTTCTTCTTCTGGTTTTTCCTATTTTGTTGCTTTTATAATCAGTTGTTCCATCTACTATCGCATTAAAATCTCCTACTAGACAAATATTTTGGGTACTCCATTTCTATTATTTTTCTATGTAGGCTTTGATAAAATTCTTCTTGATTGTTATTTGGTGCATAGATTGCCGCTAACAATGTTTGCTTTTGGTGTAGATATATTTCTACCATTACAATTCTTCCTTCCTCATCTGAGAATACCAATTTAGAATCTATTGTCTCTTTAATGTATACAGCAATCCCTTTTTTTGGTGTGCTGATGCATAATAAAGTTTCCCAATTTTTGAATATTCCAATAATTTATGGTGCTGTTCTTTTATATGTGTCTCTTGCAAACAAATTGTATCTATGTTCAATTTCTGTAATTTCCTGAAGATTTTGTTTCTTTTTGATGGAGAGTTTAGTCCATTTACATTCACTCAAACAATTCCATTTTTTTTCTCCATTTCCATTTCTATTATTTATATTTAGGTCTAGTCGATCTCGTAATCCTCTGTTCTCTGGCAGTTCCTTCACCTTCACCCTCTTGTTCATCTTTCTCTTTCTGTTCTCCTGTTTGTGTGGTTGCTCCTTGGGTCATCTCTTCCATTTGCTTCTGTCCCTTACTCTCCCCTTGTCGTTGTCGCACTCCTTGCTTTGAAGTCCTCTGCTTTCCAGATTGAATCCAGTCGATATCTTGTGTTGTTCCAATTTATTAAAATGCCTTCCAGCATTAGCCTTTGGCAACCAGCTTTGTGGTTAGGAAATGGTAGTGTCTTCAAGTGTCTCTTACTCTCTTGGGTATCTACTTTAAAACCACAATTTCTTTATTTTTGTATTGTAATGGCTCATCTCTCACTTTTCTTAGTACTTCATCCCTTGTTGTTTTCTTTATAAACCTTTCATTACTTCTCTTGGTAGTCTGTTTTTCCTTGCGTAGCTTGAATTCATGTGAAATATTTCGTCAATCTCCATTTGGATCTCTACTCTGTCTGCCTTCAGAGCCTCTGCCAGAAGGTCAATGATCACAACTGCTATGTTTTCTTCTCTATCCTCAGGGATATTTTGGAATCTCAAATAGTTTTCCACCTTCTCCATTTCCAGAATCTTAACTGCCCCCTCTAGATCTTTATTTGCTTGTTCTAATTTTTCATTTTCTTGTAATAACATTTCCATCTTTTTATCAATGTCCTCTGATTTATTTTCAATTTTCTGGATTCTTTGTTCATTTTTAATAATCATTTGGTTTTGAGCTTCAAATTGTGCCTTTATATCTAGGATTTCTTCGCTTAATTTCTCAAAGTTACTTTGTGTCTTTTCATGATTTTTTTGCATTGTCTCTTGAATCAGTTTTAGTGAGGCCTGCATTTCATTTTGGGCAGTGCTTATTTTCTCACGTTGCAACATTGTTTCAATAGATCCCTGGGTTGTTGGACTAAATTGTCCCACAGAGGGTGCAGAAAAAGTTTTCTTCATAGGTCTAGTAATGTTTGATGTACTCGTTTTACAGCCCACAATCTTGGGCTAAAATCCAAAATGCAAAAGGAGCCAGCTATTTTAAGTCAAATCCACCTCCTCCATTCAGGTCTTCGATATAAAGCATTCACTTTCTCCAAATAGTGTCTGTCTAGTTTTAGCCAAAGTCAACAAATATAACTATGAGAAGTCTTTTCCCTTGTAATCTCACGCCAAGGCACTTTGTTGTTTGCAGATGTCTTTCAAGGTCATTGTTTTGGAAACACTTTTTTCTTTCTTTCTTTTTTTCCACTGTTTGTTGGTACTGTTATTTCTTCTTTCGCCACTAGATGCCCGCCTACGCTCATTTATCAATATCCGATATTCTTTAAGCTGCTTTTCCCCTTTTGTAGTTACTCACCACCTTTAAATTAATCCTTCTGGGGGTCTTTGATTTTCAGCTCTTCCCCATCAAGGGCTCAACGTTTTATAGTCCACAAGGAGAATAAAAAAAGCTCTAGCTCACCCAGTCTCAGCATGCTGTTGAGAATCAGCTGTTTTGCAGAGCTTTCCTTCTGGCTGGGGATGACTTGGACTGCCTCGGCTCACCTGGCAGCCTTTCTTTTGCCCTTTCAGAGGGGTTCTTCAGTTTGCTCCAATCGACCGCTGCCTGATCTGAGCTCCTGGAGTGTCCCACCTTCGTTGCCCCTCCAGGGCAACTTTCCAACCCTTTCAGGGTCGCTGGGCAAAGCGAAACTGGACTGGGAAGCCGGCGCACCAGCTTCTTCCATCTATCCTGTCAGCGACCAAACCGAAAGTCGGACTCCTCTTCACTCATGATTATTTCAAGAATCTTGACTCAGGTTCTCCTGAGATCAACAACATTTTAATAGCCAATGCTATATAGATTCACCTTTGATTGCTAGCCATTATTTTTCTCACTTCTTCTTCTCAGAATAATTTTTCTTTTATGTCTTCCCATTTCTTCTTCCTTCCCAGCCCAACAGAGGCCACTTTTACCTATAGGAAATACTACTTATAGTAACATTACGAGAGCCAGTGCTATCTATCTTATGCTCAGTATGTACTTACCTAAACAGAATAACTGTAAAAATACTTAAAAGGAAATTTAACTAATGTTCAAAGATTTCATAATCCAAAAACTGACCTAGAAAATGTGTAAAAATTGTCCTGCTAAGGATTTCACCATTCCAGCATGGATAAAATATTAATAGCATAGTATCCATGGGGAAAAACACTCTGTAGCTGTTCATCCCCATTCCACACTGTTGGGTGAGGTTCTGCTTTTTCCTTACTAATTGTAATATTAACTTCATGGAAGACTCACGTTTGGTTTCCAGGAGATTTCTATCCCCGTGAGCAAATCACACCTGCAAAAAAGAGAAGAAAATACCCGCAAAAAAAAGGATAGTTGACTCAAGGCTATGTGGTGTCCACACTGACTGGTGGCATTTCCTTCTGTCATAATAAATATTTTCATTTTAAAAATGATTCAAAAGGAGGGGCAGCATGTGTAGCCTTACGTTTTGGCACCCTAGGCCAGTGCCTGCTTGGCTTTCTGCTAAAGCCAGCCTTGCTTTGAAGATATAGTGCCAGAAGGGGATAGTCCTTCAACACGCCAGTAGGAATTCAGCAGATAGCTAACTCTTCCGTGTGCCATAAATTGTCCAGATGGAAAATCCAATGGTGGCATAAGGAGTTTGATCCTGACTGGCTCAAGATTGACTGAGCCTTCCATCCTTTCGAGGTTGGGAAAATGAGGAACCAAATTGTTGGGAAAATATGCTGACTCTGTAGACTTCCGGTTTGCTGACACAGCCACCATGGACATCTGGAAGGTGAGATCCATCTTCTGCATCCAGTTTCACATTGCTGGGGGACCCTGGAAAGGACCCTGTAGGGGCAACCAGCAAGGAGGGGATCCCCACTTGATTGCGGGAGAGCAGTAGCCTTCCGCTCGATCCAGGGCAGGCCTCCAAACCAGTGGATGAAAGACCGGCCATAGCAATATGGCTTGTCACTAGGCTGCAGACAGCCAAAGTCACACTTACCACCAGGCAACTATAAAGCAGCGGGGACGAGACTGGGTGAGATCTACCTCTCTTAAATCCTAACTATTTTTTCCTGCATAAGCTGATTAAAGTACTTTCCCCCCTGTGGAGGGAAAGGAGATTTTATCCCTCCCTCTAGAAACAGTGGCGACTGACTATCCAGGGGAATTTAAAACATTGCAAGAATAACCTGATCCTAAATTTGAAATTTATTTCTTAAAGTTTGTGGACTAAAAGATTTTCTATTCTTACTGAAGATCTGGGTTTTTACTTATAAAAAAGAAGCAAAATTTAAAAGATTATAAAAACATTGGATTCAAAAGAAAACTTTAAATTAGGGGCAACATCTTGTGGCTAAACCTGATATTACAATTTGTTATTGCTTAAAAGAGACTTAGCAGACAACCCAGACAATAGATAAGACCTATGCAACCTTCAGACATTAGCTGTGTTCTATACACAGTGACAAAAAAAAATTCCTGCATTTTTTTTCCTGCATTCTCTGATTGTAAAGCTTTCAATCTAATACACTACTAAGAGAATATGGATGAAGATCAGGAATAGATTCTCTTTATGTTGAAAGCAATTATCAAACTATTCTAACAGCTACTGATGAAATAAGAGGTTACAGAAAAGAACAAGATGCCAGCCCAGAGATACAAACTCAAACTTTGATTACAACTAAAAAATTAACTACACAGAATATAACAGAAAAAGTAGAACAATTAAATATTATGACAGAAGACTCAGCTGATCAACAAATACATTCAGTGGAAAATCCAGAAAAGGAACTAACAATATGTAAAAGGGAAAAGACTGTCTACATAAATCAGAAGAAACCTGAGGATCAAGAAGAAGAATAGATTGAAGAGAAGATAAATAGTTCAGGACAACCACATCAAGATGGAAAAATGGAGAGACGATTTGTTAGTCCTCTCAAAAAAATGGCAATCGGATGGTTCTTTCTACATCACACCTACCTAAATGATATAGAAACTGCTAGTCCTAGTTCTGAAACACTGAAAAAATAATTAGTACTGTGTTGTATACTTTTGATATATCATTTAATCTTTCAAACATACTTATTTTTCTTTCAGCTGAGGAAAGGGCCTCCTGTCCCACCACTGCCTAAACTCACACCAACGGCAGACATGCAACAAGAAAATATTATCAGTTTATTTGATGATAACTTTGTTCCAGAAATAAATGTGACAACTCCTTCACAGGTGAGTCAAGATTGAATGGTATCAATCTTCTCCAGCATCATGTATTCAACTTGTACACATTGTTCATCCTGAACCAAAAGGCCTTGTCAATGTTGACTGGGAACCCTGGAAACATTTTTTTGAATGGAGATGATAAGAATGGTGTCAACCTCCAGCTCGAATATCCAAATAAAAGTCCAGGATTACTTTCATTTATGAAAAGCTTACTGGTTTGTTGAATATATGGCACATACAGGCTGGGAAACATGGTTCTAGTCACTGACAAAATATTTTCCATTAATTTGAAACTGTTTTATACATTTAGGGATGAAACCTCTAGATAATGCTCACAAAAACCTGGTGAAGTTTGGTAATGAATCCCACAAACACTCTGGGTTTGGATAAGCATGACTAAAATTTCTTCAATATTATCACTGGTTATGTAAATGTCCATGATCCTTAGTCCTAACAGACTGTATTTATTTAAAGGAAAATACACACATGATGAAGTATTAATTGAATCTCAGCTTGGTGCTAATAAAATCATTCATGAATTCCTCACAAAATGGCTTGCATGAAACGATTGAAAGCTAATTCAGAAAAAGTTTGCTATCTTACCCATTTCCTGTTATATCCATGGCAACTTTCTATATTCTGAATTGACTAATGCCACTGGATTCCAATCTCTTTCCTTATTATTTGCCTTGATGTATATTTTATGAGGTAAATTATTTGTACATTCCAATTAAACATGATGTTTAAAAGATGTTGTAATTCCAACAGAATGAAACTCCTGATGCTAAAAAAGAAGAGTCTTTGTTAGATTTGGACTTTGATCCTTTCAAACCTGATAATGCATCTACTGTGGTGGCCCATTCCCCAATGTCTCAGGTATTTTTTAGTGTGTGTGTGTGTGTGTGTGTGTGTGTGTGTGTGTGATTATGATACTATGTGCCCCATAATCAGAGTTGTTTTATACCACAATCCTGTGGGAACCTAGAAATGCAGTTTTAATTTATTAAAAGAGAGTGGCTGACTCTTATATTAAGGATTATAAAGAAATGTAATAATTAAAAGGAAATTTTGATGTGGTTGGCTAATATAATTTGCAGTGATTGGTAATGGCTTAGGTCAGTGATGGCGAACCTTTTAGAGACCGAGTGCCCAAACTGCAACCCAAAACCCATTTATGCATCATCGGATGCCGGGTGGGTGTGGTCATTGGGTGGTGGGTGTGGCTGCAGTGGTAACAGCAGACTGGGTGGGACTAAAAAGTTCAATCAATCAATTCCAACTTTGCAAGATCTTTTTTTTTCCCACGAGAAGTTGAAATTGACTGATTGATTGAACCTTTTTTTTTTTTTTTACACAACGACGGAGGCCTAAAGCAAAAAGGGTTTATAAAACCCAGCTGAATGCCTAGGACTGGGGCGACAGCGCACGTGCCCACAGAGAGGGCTCTGAGTGCCGCCTCTGGCACCCATGCCATAGGTTCGCCACCACTGGCTTAGGTGATGTCTTGCAGAAGCAGACAAAATTATACAAAATAGGCATTTTTCAATAATGAAAAATGTGCAAAATTTTAGCCAGTTTACAAAATATATGCTGATTACACAATTCAGAATTTTTCTTAGTGTTTAGCAACATACATCTGAAATGAAGTGAGTAACAGAAAGTATTGAGTAATGTGAGATTAGACTCGATAAGAGCCATAGTAAACATGTAGCTTTGATGCCACGTAGGGCTGCATGTCTTATTTGGAAACATAGCAGATTAACTATTTAGTCAATCCAAGTTCCAAGTTTCCCAAAGCACTTCACTTTTATATTTTATTAATGGACAGCTAATATTTCCACCCTACAAGTGTTAAAAGAAGTCTTAACAAAACACCTGTCCTTAACAATAGGTTTAAATTAAATATTTGTTTCTGAAACCTGGAGCCACTGACATTTAAAAATGCACTATTGTACATTTTTTCTCAGATCATGTAAGAAAGTAGACTTCTATAGGCTTGACCAAAGATCTGATTGTCTACTTACATCTGATATTTCAAAAAAAAATGATTGCAAATTTTTCTCTTTATATTGTGTATATTTTGTGTAGGTGTGGATGTGGGCTTGTGCATCTGCATGCATGCATACCATCAAATCAGGTTTTGGCTCCTGGGCACAAATCCCTGCAGTTTTCTTAGCAAAATTTCAGAAGTGGTTTGCCATTGTCTCCTTTCTAGAACTGAGAGAGAGTGATTGGCCCAAGGACTTTGTGCCTAAGACCGGATTAGGACTTACAAGTTTCTAGTCTGATTCTGTAGCTACTATACCAGTCTTGCTCTCTACTCTATAATGCCAATTTTGCTTATGCAAATTGATGATGTTGTTGTTGTTGTTGTTGTTGTTGTTGTTGTTGTTATTATTATTATTATTATTATTATTATTATTATTATTATTATTATTATTATTAATTAAATTTATATACCGCCCTATCTCCCTTACGGGACTCAGGGCGGTGAACAGGCGATACTAAAAACCACGATAAATAGAGAACTGAAACAAGATGTACCATTTGTACATATGAATGGTAATAGATTACAATTTCAAAATGATATTTTTTTTAAAAAAAGTCACCTCTGCATATAAAAATTTATATTGAATTATGATTTCCCACCTGGCCAGTAACTTTTTTTATTTTTTTATTTTTATTGATTTGAGATGTTATAGTCTACATTTTGGTATAAAATGAAAGCAGAAAATAGCTTACAGAAAATTGAAAACTACAAAATCATCATAACATTATAAATAATTAAAAAGCAAGCATAGACCTAATAGGGAATCAAACTAAAAAAAGATTCAGTGCAATAAGATATCTTCCCTTTTAAAACCACCCATTTTTCTATTTCTATGTATCTGTATACTGAAAACCTTGAGGACCAAGAAGGCCATAGGCAGTATGAAGTGTGCAAAGCTCAAGTCAATTAGCAAAGGCCTGCAAACCTGATGTATGGGACAGGGAGGAGAAACATAGTGCAATTTGAGCTGGCACTATAAATAAGCTGAAGCTTGTTATAGTAAATGGTCTGATACTGTCAAACCTCCCCTTACACTTGAGGTCAATAAAGAAGTATCTCAGAAGTTTAAAGGCATCGTGGCAGAATTAAAACAGGCCACAGTTATTAATACCATTAATTTACATATATAAATTGATTTTTAGTAAATGAAATTTTTCATATTATCCAGGAAAAGAATACTTTACCCTGACATGATGCCAAATAGAAAGAGCTGTTAAATTTACTTCTTAAAAAGATTGTTTTTATGATAGATGTCCTTGATTACATACACTATGATTATCTTATATTCTGTGAGTATGCAGAGTACACATTGAAATATACTTAGAAATGAAACTGTGATAGGATTGAGAAACTAAAATTGAAGAATGTGTGGCATTCACAGAAGAAGTCTAAAAATTCAAGCAGGAATAGTTTCCTTAAATAAAACATATCATATAACAAGACAACCTAGGACACTTAGACACCATTTTTGAAGAAAAAGAGAAAATATTTTTTTAAAAAATCTAAATGGCCCAAATAGAAATGAGCAATAATCACAGATGACCAAAGTATGATAGAAAATATTTAATTAGAGCTAAGGGGGAAAAAGAGAGGAGGAAGGAACGGGGGTGGGGGTGGAGATTAAAATGCTTTTTTCTTACAATGTTTTTTTCTTTATCTTTTTTGTTTTTGTTTTAAACTTTTTTACAATCTATTTTTAGCCATCAGATTTTTATTTCAACTTTTGCTATACAGACAATTCTCGACATAAAACCATTCATTTAGCACTGAAAAAAGTGACTTATGACCAGTTTTCACACTTAATGACTGTTGTGGCATCCCCATGATCACATGATCGAAATTGGGTTGCTTGGCATGTATTTCTGAGAGTTGCACCACATAATCTTCCTGGATGGTTTCCGACAAGCAAAGAAACCAGATTCACTTAACGATCGCATGATTTGCTTAATAATTGCAATGATTTGCTTAATGACTGGGGGAGAAAGTTCATAAAATGGAGCAAAATTCACTTAACAACTACCTTGTTTAGCCACAGAAATTTGGGGCTCAGTTGTTGTCATAAGTCAAGGATTAGTCATTTTTTATAACAAGTTTTTATTGGTTTTCCAGTTTTACACTTAAGTATTTGGAAAGCAGCGTGGTGATTGGGTAGTCAATAGTACAATAACAAAATCTTTAGTACATATCTCAGGTTACATCATCAAAAAATTCCTTCTCTATTTCCCTTAACATTTACTATATCATATATAAGCTAGTAGATTTCTAGTTGTAACAGGCTTAGTTAAAACATTCATCCTTATATTTTTGCTTATACATATCCATATCCTGTATTTAAATTTTACCTAATTTTTAATTTTTAATTAAAATATTCCAATTTAACCTTTAACATCCATAGTATTTAAATTCCGGATAACCCAAATTTCCTTTATTTCACTCTATAAAAACTATAATAACTAAAATATACCTATTGCTTACTTGAATATATTTTTATTTTATTTCATAAACAGTTTCTATTTCTCATCCTAGTACATCACTACTTACTAATGGAGTATCCTTCATTGTCACAAATCCATCATCTGTGCTGTCTGGGCTAAACAATGATTCAAAGCTATTCCCTAATAATTAGTTTTCATTTCCCTTATAGATCTAAATCCTCGATATTAGGCCAATTAATCCCTTATTTTTTATCATTTCCCAACAATAGTTAAATCTAATAATCGTATTTCTCTTCATCTCAGAAATTTGCTTTAGCCCGTCAGTTGAGACTTTAGGATGCTCTCTAATAAATCAAAAGACCCCATTTTTTAAATCTAACTCTGGCTTTCTTTTTGTGCCAACCAGGCCTCCATACCAATGTCTCTAGTCTAGATCCTCAGACAGATCTCCCTTCATTCTTGTATATGTTACTTGAACCAAGGGAAACCATCTAGTTATCAATTTTCCAGAGGAATTGGCACATTTATGGTCATTAAGTTGTCGCCCTGGTAGCCCAGATCCCCATATTTGCTCTAAGATATTTGTCTTCAATTCAATATGGTCTTGTTCCTCAGGTTTCTTCTGGTCTAGGTAAAAAGTCATGTCCAATTTTATGATTGTTATTTGGTTGTCTAGATTTTCAGTAGGTTGTACTTGTTGATCTTTAGCACTCTCCATCTTAGTATTTCTTTCTTCTGCTTCTGTTGTTTTTTGGGTTGTAGGTTCTTTAGTTGCAGTCAGGATTTGGTTATCTGGATTTTCAATACATTGTACTTGTTGATCTGTAAAGTCCTCTGTCTTAGTATTAATTTCTTCCGCTTCTGTTATTTTTTGAATTGTGAGTTCTTTGATTGTAGTCAGGGTTTTGCTTTGTAGCTTTAAGCTGGCACCTTTGTCTTTCAATCTAGCTTCAATTATCTCCGTGGCTTCAAAACATTTTTCAAGTATAAGTTTATAGTTAAGTGAAGTTTGTTGCTGGTCCTCCTCCATTTCTGATGTAGTTATAGATAGTCCTTTAGTGAAGGCTATTTATAAAACAAAAGTCAGTAGGTATTCACCTCCACAGTCCTAAAGAGCAATTTCACCACCCAATTGTTCTCTCAGCTTGTAATCTCTTTTAGATAATACCAAGGCCAGATCTGGGCTCTGAGCAGGTCTTTTTGTCAGGAATATTCACTTGCTGTACCACGTTTTGCCACAAGATGTCCTCGATAGCATTTAAAATTTTTCAAGTCCCTGGCTAGGTTTTTATCCAGTGTAGGTTTTTTCCTCTTTTTTAGGAGTAAATAGAGTAGCAAATCCCCATAAAAGTAGGAACTTTTTGGGTCCCAGAATATCAGACAGAAGCAAATCCAATTATTTAGTACAGGGGTGTAAAACTCAATTTCATTGAGGGCCGCATCAGCATTGCAGCTGCCCTCGGGGAGCCGGGTGGGTATGGCCAGGGTGGGTGCAGCCTACTGGGTGGGCGTGGATGGAGTGGGTGTGGTCTACTTGGTGGGCATGGCCAGCTCTACATCGTTCGCGTTAAGGATACCTGTGGGGGCCTGGGCAGGAATGGGACAGATCTGAGAGTCTCTGGCAGGATGGGACCAGGGCAAGTGCCAAGGTATGGTCCACTGTAGGAGCCTCACTGTTCCTCTCAGGCCATGCGGGGGGGCTGGATGGTGGTGCGGGCTGCCCAGAGCCCTGGGCAGCAGAGGTCAAATGCCCAGCCTGGCCCTCAAGCACCCGTGGCACCAAGCCCAGCCCCACTTCCCCAAGGTGGTGCCCAGCTGCACTTACCTCCTCCTCAAGGCTCCTGCTGCTGTTGTGCTTGCTCTCCTTACCCAGGTTGCTCATGATGGGTATGAGGGCAAAGTCAGAGGGAGGCCCATTCCCTCTCCATGGGAGGAGACCTGGTTTTGTATCCAAAGCTTCCTTAGCAATAGGATGGGAGACCCTCAGGATAGGCCAAGAGGAGGGGGCAAGGAAAAGGACAGCAGGGCAGGACTAAGGCAGGACTTCCCTCAGACCTCCCTCTCCTTCTTTCCTTCCTTCCTTCCTAAGTATAGAGTGGTGGGAAAATATTTGAAATGAGGGAGAGAGAAAAACAGGCAAGAAACGCAGCTGAGGAGGTGTCACCCTTTGTGAAGAATGACCAGCACATGGCCCTCACCTACTTCACATATCTGGCTTGGTGGGCTCTGGGAGAGGGGATGCCATGAGCAGCGTGAGAGTCAACATTACCTGCACAATGCCGCCCAGCCTCCAGCCTGCCCGGTTTCGGCAGGCAGCCGGGTGCTTTCCTCACAGTACCAAGAGGCTGAGCCGGCGGTGTGAAGCTCGCCAGCTGTGCACCTTTCTGCTTGCTGAAACTGGGCAGGCTGGGGGCTAGGCAGCATTGCATTTCTCATCAGATTCACGCCACCTGCTCAGCTCTCGGCGCTGTGAGGAGAGCGTTCCGCTGCCTGCCAAAACCCCTCCCCGGAGCCCAAGCCAGATATGTGAAGTAGGCGAGGGCCATTTGCTGGCCACTTCCAGGCAATGATGCATTTCTTCATTCCTCACAAAGGGTGACACCTCCCCAGCATGCACACAGGGAGCGGGGACGACACAGCAGGGGCTGGTTCCTCGCTGTTTCCAGATGGCCTTGTGGAGCTAAAACTGAATGTGTTTCAGCATAGATGGCCACCACAAAATTGTACATTGGCTCCTGGCCGGCCTGTTTCCAGGATGGCTTCACAGGCCACATGAAACCACTTCATGGGCCACATCTGGCCCCTGGGCCTTTTGTTTGACATGTCTGATTTAGTAGATCTTTTCAAGGCTTTATGTCCCCTAGGTAGTTAAAAGCCGCCATTTTAGAGGGTGGGAGGAAGACGTTCCCTTCCCTCTCTCCTCATAGGGGGAAGAAATTTCCAGAGGCTTTTTACAGGAAGAATACTTGGGGTGAAAGGAAGGTAGGATCTCACCCAATTCCTCCACGGTGCTTTCAAAGTGCTTGTTAGTGATTTTGGCCTCGGCTGGTAGCGGCTTGGTGATGAGCCATAAATGGCCGATCTTTTCCCTGTCAGTTCGAAGAGTTGCCCAGGATCAAACAGGAGGGCTGCCGCCCTTCCACGGTCGCTCGGGAGTCCTCTTCACGCTCGTGAAGGGCGACTTTCGAGCCTTTTCAGTGTCCCCCAGCGGGAGAAAACCGGACGGCGGAGGGAGCGATCTCTCTGAACGTCCGCCAGAGGCATGATCGCAAACTGGAAGCCACGTAAATTTCATTTTATGTATGCCTGTGTATTCTTTTTCTTTTTTGTTTGTTGCTATTGTTTTACTTTCTTAATTTAAAAAAAATGATTAAAAATAAGGAATGTGATTGTTCAGTCAGGTACATTATGGCTATCAACAATGCTTTTGAGAGCTACTGGTTTGCCACAAGTGGTGGGTTTAACAGCAAACCTCTTGGAGAATTACACTTTTAAGAGATAAAAGTTGGAATTCCTTTTCAGTGGATAAAACAAATATAAATGTTTGGAATATGGTGTGGGGTGGGCTAGTATGCACCCAGATCCATTGCTCTAGTCTAATCTATAACTACTTCTTTGCCAACTTTGGTTAAGCACATGTATAATCACATTATTATCTAATTATGCTTTACAGCACATAAAAAAGATGTACAAATGAGGTTTTGAACATTGTCCTTCTTTCCCCTTCTCAGACGCTACCCTGGGATCTGTGGACGGTATGGTTGGCTTTTATTTCTTTTTATCTTGTTCTTGTTTTGTATTTCAATGGTAACTTCAATGTGCAAAATATATCAATACAAAAAAGTTGATTAAATTTTGCGAGGCAAGTTATGGAAAGGAATAAGGAAGGAAGGAATACGTAACAGTTAAAGGTTGCTTTCTGTACTCAGATTTTAATTTAATTTGAGAAATCTATGAGGACACCTTCTGTATTTTTGTAGTAGCCTCAACATTTTGAAATTATCTTGCTTTAAGAAGAAATTAAATATGCCATGCAGGATTATTTAATAAAGGCAAAATAGTATCTGTTGATAATCTATAAATAATATTTGCATCACCCTCTTAAACTATAAATTATTCCACTAATATGTGATGACAAAATTTAAGAATATAAACTGCTTTAATGTTAAAGAGCTCTGAGTATTGTAATAATTTCTATGTAGGTACCAATTTTAATACTGACAGAAATTATGCTGATATGGAAACTCAACGGGTTTTTTGTTTTCTTTATTGTGAATTACAGAAAACAATTTAATGAATTCCACACTGATGGAAAGTTTATGTAGACTCTTTGGTTACATTAACATTCATCCACAAATTACTGATACAGATAAATTTGTAAATGAACATTAAACAAATGTAATTCAAAAGAAGATCATGTTATTAAATTAATTGGTTTTATTGGTTTAGTTCACTGAGTAGTCTCTACCCAATGGAAACCATCTTTATCTGCATTTCAGACTGACCATGAAACAAAAACTTGAAACATTTTAATTACTCTGTTACATACATACACACACACACACACACACACACACACACCAATCTTCAAATCTAGAAATAAAGCAGTGGTGGGATTCAACCGGTTTGCACCACTTGGGCAGAACCAATAGCTAATTTTTTGTTGCCCAGGCCCAGAATGGACTTCCGGAAGCGGCATCCACACAGAGAACCAGTTGTTTATATATTTGAATCCCACCACTGCTTAAAAGTCATTTTACTGGTTGAACAGAGCAAGGCTGATGCTCATTATCCCTCCCTCTAACATGGACTGTGTCAATTGTCTCAATTTGTAATACCTTCTTAGTGTTCTTTGAGCTTGATTGTTTCTTTGCAGACATTTTATTTCCCAGCTAAGTAGCATCTTCAGTATAAAAAGGGAATCGGGTTTGCTCTGTTTATATACAGTAGATTACTTTGTTAGTAATGGTGGGGGTTTTGCTTTCTGGTTGGTAGTTCCTTGTTTGGTCTGTTTTCTGTTTGATTGTTTGACTGACTTGATAGTTCCTTGATTAAGGTATTGTTTCCTGCTTGATTGTTTGTCTGGGGTTAATCCTGGGTTTATCCTCTTATTGGGTGATTGATTGCTGGTAAGGCATGTTCTGGTCTTTTTGTTTCCTTTTTAGCTTTTTTTAATCTTTTGACTAGTGTGTAAATATTGTTTATTTCTATGTGCCTGTTGATGACTGATTTCTTTGAGTACTAAGCTTCTAGGAATTTCTGAGCATTTTTGGATTTGGATTGAACTGGGATGCTCACAGTTTCCAAGTTGAAAATATGGTTAAATCTGTTCATGTATTGTGAAATTAAGGCATTTTCATTGTGTCTTCTGATAGCTAGTTGGTGTTTATGGATGCACTCTGGGTCTTTCGGTTTATTTAACATGTTTCTTTTCAGTGAGATATCCTCTCCATTTTCTCTTATCTTTTTTCATATTTTCTTTCCTCACAGACCAATAATGAGATGGTGCAGCCGGTAAGTAGTTGCTTTTTTCAAATGTAGATTTCCCTTACAGATATTATAAATTGTATTAATTCCTTAATTTAGTCAGTTAATTTTGAGTTCTATATGTTTTTTCTCCCTGAAACCATCTTTATCTTGCTCATCTTGTTTTTTTCTTTACTTTCCTACCTATTTAAAGCCTGACTCTCCAAAAAGTCTTTCCCTGTATAACCTGGTCATGGAGGAAAATCCAGACAGTGGATCAGCAGAAGATCTTAACAAGCCCCAAACTGATTTAGGTTCACTCAATGTGGGCCTAGAGCCAGATTCCCTCAAGGAGGCAGCCAGTGAGGGCCAGGAAAGAACTGCTGATGGTCCCATGCCTTTTCTTCAGGCAGAGGAAATCTCAGCAGAATCATCTGATATGGTAGCTACTCCTATTTTGCCTGCTGCAAGCGAGTATGAGGATGGCGCATCATGGACAGCTTGTGCAAATGAACATGAAGCCACTTTCTTAAGACTATGCCGGGAGATTAGTCATAGTGGAGACGATGGCACTGATCTGGTGGAGAGTAACCAGCTTTTAGTGAGTGAAACTTTGTCTGAGAAGTCTTCAGTGAAAATTGACAGCTTTTCGGATGCAGAGCCATTTAGTGTGGAAATGACAAAAGAGGCGAATCTGGGCTTAGAAGACTCTTTCTGGACAAATACGGACCCATGTGAAAAGGTAGACATCAGAGGTGCTAAACTCAAGGAGTTCAGTAAATCCTTTGATGAAATTGAATGTCTTAAGGCCTTAGGACAACCAGATAATGAAACTGTAAAAAAGACTAAGGTAGAAATTAGACAAGATTTAGAATGCACCAATGGGCAACGAGAAACTGATAGTTGTCCCCAGAAATTTGATATAGAATTTAATAGGGCTGATGTGGTTAAAGAGATAGTTGAAAGAGATTTCAAGAATATGAGCAGCTTTACAGCTCTAGAACATAATAGACTTGAAATGGAGAATGCTTTGTGTTCACTGAATCAGGATCCTGAAGAAACATGTGAGGGTAAGAGGGCCATAAAATGCACACAGGAAAATGATATGACAAATATTACAGGAACTCCTAACCTCCAAGTCAAAGATAAATTTTCTACAGAGATTGGAAATCTTGGGTATGATTTTGAAGCAAAAGAGACAGAAGAGCTTTGCAAAAAATATGAAGATTGTGGCCTCAATATCTCTCAAGAGAATAAAGATATTGAATGCCAAGTTACCTTTATATCCCTTGACAAGGATATGACTCTGCAGCATGGGTTTGAGAATCCAACTAATGCATATTTCAGTAGTTCTGAGTTAGAGAATATGGAAGGTGAATTGGCAGATAGGGAAATGTTTTGTGTGCCTGAAGAAGCTAACTTTGATTTACCCAAGGTGTTGGAGACAGAACCCTGGGATGACAGCTGGGATCCTACATTTAGTTCTGATTCCTTTTTCAGCCAGTCAAATAGCTATGATTCCTGTCCCTTTCCTCCCACACAAGACTCTCTAGATGGAAACGTGGACAACCTATGGCCAGGTTTCATGCAAGATTTAGGAGAATTAAACAATAGCTGGGGGACTGCTTGTGTAATGACGAGTCAGCAGAATCAGGAAGCATCTTTACTGCAAAGATCATCTGGGGAAGAGACAAACATTAGCACCTCTGGATCAAACAAGATAAGTAGCCCATTGATTCTGTTCCAAATGGGAAACTCTGGAAAGGCTAGCACCGGAAACTTCACTAGTCCCAAAGAAAATAAGACCAACAGCTCAGATTTATCTGAAGATGAAATTGCTAACCGGAGATATGGATTGTTATACCAAGAAAATGAGGCTGATAAAGAAGAGGTACCTACCATATTATATAGCATAGTTTAGAAAAGAGAGATTCCCTAGGAGGTGATTTTTCCTTTATTTAACCTTGTATTTTATGAATAGTCCTTATCTTTCCTTTGCTAATCTGTGTAGTCATGCATTCATGGCATAATTCAACCATGTAATTATGCTAGGTTGACCACAAAGAAGTTGACTGTTGAATATGCCATCTTATTTTATACTACATCTTGTTTTGACATGTTGCTTTTAGATAGTTTATGTTGCTGGCATCGTTTCCAATTATCAATGTGTTTCATTGTGCTTTCTTTTTATTTTTTATTTTATTGTCATTCTTTCCCTTCACTTTAAAAGATGTTTATGTTTGGGCCATGTACAAACAAGACTTTGATATTAAAATCTGTCCTTCTAATTTGGCCTAGGCATCAAACAATGCTTTTAATGGATTTGCACAGGTAAGGAGTAACTTTATCTTATTTATATATCTATTTATCTAAAATATTTTTATAGCCATCCATCTTAAAACACATCTCTGGGAGCTCACAACAACAATAAAACCCTAGATCCATTTTTTAAAAATAAAACAAAAACTTAGCACCTCAGTGATTGCCTTTGGATGTCTCAACAAACAACAGAAGGCATCCTTACTCTATCCCAGAATAAAAAGTCAGGTCTTGATGGCCTCCCAGAAAACTAAAAGGGTTGGGGCCTCCTGGAAAGAGGGTGCACTATAAAGTAGGGGAAGCCATGGAGAAGCGCCTTTATGAAGTCCTCCTAGATAGCAATATTTCAGGGAACACACCTGGAGCATGCTTATCCTATTTTATCCAGCAGATACTGTCAGGGACAAGCCATCTCACAAACAGTTCCTGTGCCATGTAGGGCTGTAAAAGTGATATCAGAGTCTTGAATTTTACCTGGAAGGAAACTGCTTGGGCAACACAGATGTAACATAGGCAAATCTTGAAGCACCCAGCACTATGTGTGCCCATGTTCTGGACCAATTGCAGCTCTTGGATAGTTGTCAAGGGCAGCCCCATGTAAATATATTGGAGTAACACAAACAGGAAATGACTAAGATATAAGTAACAGTGAGTAAGGCTTCCCAGTCCATGAAAGGATACAATTTGCACTCAAGATGAATCTATGCATAGCTGCCAATTGCTTATTGAGCAGGACCTGTGAGTCCAGGAGGACCCTCAAATTGCACAGAGGTTCAACCAAGAAAACGCTACCTTATCAGAGTAAAACATGAATATCACCAAACCCTGGGGAAGGGGGGGAACCAAAAACATTCTATCTTATCAGGGTTGATGTTAGTTTTTCCTTATCCAGACAGACTCTAGGCACTTGGTCAGCACTGCAATAGAATCCTTTGCCCTACCAGGAATGAAGATATGTATCTTGTGCCATCAAATGACCTCATTGAGCAATTTCATGTAAATGTTAAGGAGGAGAGGTTAGAGACCTCTGAGGCACCCCACAGTGGAGGGTCTAAGGGCTTGATCTCTCCCCATAACACTGAACGGAGCCAGCTGTAGAGAAAGGAGAACACTGCAAAACAGTGCCTCTCACTGCCAGCCCACAAAGCCTGTCTAGAAGGACACCATGATTGATGATATTGGAACCTTTGAGAGATCCAAAAGTAGAATAGTTCCATCACTTTCATCCTGAGCCCCCCAAAGGTCATCAGCAAGCATAACATGCTGTATCAATACCAGCCTATACCTACAATAAAAAGACTACAGATAAACCATTTCATTCAAAATGCTTTGAAACTGAGTGCCAATGATTCTCTCAACATATTTTTCTCCCAAAGGGAGATTGGACTGGATGAAAGTTGTCTCATACAATTGGGTCCAAAGATGGCCTCCTGAGAAAGAAGTATAGTACTGCCTCTTCAAGGCAGGTTGCACCACCTTCTCCCACAAAGGAGCATAAACCACCCCTTGGACCCAATGACATGCCACTTCCCAGGACGTAGCTGACCAGCAAAGTCATGAGTCTAGTAGAGAGATGGCTGAATTCAACCCCAATTACAAGGACCCTGCTCACTTCCTCAGAGTGAACCAGTTCAATTCTTCTCAGAAAAACGGATTCAGTCATATCTCAATCACTTCCAAAGGATCTTCCCAGCTAGAGTCCAACATTGAGCAACTTTGTCTTACAGATGTCAAGAATATTTCTCACAGTGGTCCTACAAGAGCAGCCCCAGCTCTTCTTTATCCCATCACACCTGGTCACCCAAAACTAGGCCAGTGGGTATCTATCTGCAGATGCAATAAAGTGTTTTATTTGAGACAGAATTTTAAAATTACCAAAGACCATTGCTTGAGTGTGGTACAATAAAGCAGATTTTCTGATCTGGAGCCCACACAGACATATTGAACTACATTCCATCATCCCCAGCAAGTGGGATCTAGAGATGAGGGAATTGTAAGCCAACTTCACCAGAAGGCAGTGGGTTATAAAATACACAATATAATGGCAAATTCAATAGAATACTTCACATCTAGATATCAGTAATTCATTAGATTTAGAGGTGTACGGATTTTGGATCTAAAGTAGGCTCCCTTACTGCACCTGTTAGGAGTTCATTAAGGCCCTGCCTTTTCCTGGACTTGTACAACAGTCTCAAAAAATGTTATCTGGGTAAAAAAAACAGTAGAGAAGTAATAGTGGTCTGCCTTCATGCCACTGTCTCAAATATTTATTGCCTTAAGTCTGTGTGGCTGCCATACTGATCCAGGAAAAGATACCACTTCTTTAAGAAGTCAGAATCATTGCAAATGCTCACATCAAATCCAAATATTACATACCTCTAATATAGTTGAATTTTTAAAAACTTTGCTTTAAATTTGCTTCCATAAAAACACGGGAAATACATATATTTAATGTGTCCCCCCTATTTAACACTATTATTCTTTGTTAAATTAATGTGCATTAGTTGGCCATTACAGTCAAGCTGAGATGTATTGTGGAGCTTGGTGTCTTGTTAAACAAGACCATCTTGTTGCCTTATAAGGTGTTATTACATCTTTAAACTTAAGGCCTCCAAATTGGACTACATCAGATTCCAAATCTTAGCTAAGGTGGTGTATCACCTGGTGTATCAGGTTATGCAAACCAGTCAGCTATTTATTGCCCATAATGTTATTCATAAAATTAACAAAAACTGCAATTTGATTAAAGATACTCAGCCTAGGATCATATGAAGACTCTACAAGTAATCTTCGACTTATGACCATAATTGAGTTTGGGATTACAGTTATAAATTGTGCCAATCATTAAGTAAGTGGCCACATGACCATGCATGCTTGTACAACTTTTTTTGCAGCAGTCATAAACTGAACACGGTAGTCAGTGAATGCTACCGTTGTTAAGCAAACACCATAGTTGTTAACAAAATGTACTGTCTGAAATGGGATTTTTTTTTGCTGGAAACCTTTTTTGATAGAAACACTAGTTTCTGTAAAAATAAATGTAAATTGCAGTCTCATGATTGCAGGACACTGCAAATGGTCATAAATTCAGGCCATGCGCCTGAAATATGATCATGTGACCATAGGAGAAGGTGGCCATTGGAACTTCGAATCTGAGTCATATGTAGTCCTGGGGAGGTCCATTGTAACTTTGAATAGTCACTGAGTGATTAGTCATACGTCAAGGACTACTTGTACTGAAGTCAATGATCAATGACATATGAAATCCAGTATTATATTTAATAGATCCCTTATAAATAAAAAAGCAACTCAAAGTACTACCCAAGAAACATTAGTGTGAAAATGCTATAATAATGAATGACATTGAATCAAAGCTGCTGTTTAATAAAAAAAAATAGAAAAGTTTTAATGTCCGACAACAAGCTTTATAATATTAATTTAGAGTGCCACATTTGATTACAAAGTCAGTTTATTTCTAGAGGGAATGTTTTTGCAAATCTCAGCCTCCAGATTCCATACTAGAAGCTTGCTAAATTCACCAAGAACCATAAAAAAATGATGTCAGTTATCAAATGCTGGGAAAATATTAAATTAAATAAGAAGACAAAATTAGAATTGTATGTTTTGGGGAATAGTTTTGTCATAGTTTTTGTACATAATTTTTAGTAGGTTTTTAAATACTGATGCTTAAATAATCTTCTGTTCCCAGGACACCTCCCTGTTTTCAATGCAGCCAACTCAGGATGTTATAGATAGTATGGTAAGTTGTTGCTTTTTGTATCAACTTGTATTAATCTCACTTTTTAATCATTTTTGGAAATAGCCATCTTAAAGTTATTACAGACTTTCAGAACAACAAGTTTGAAAAATGTTCATAGGATGTGTTCAACAAAGAAAATTAATTTTAAGCCTAATAGCTTAAAGTATTTAGCAAAAAGCTAAATAAAATTTTAATCTAAGGAAGTTATAAATGGGTTAAAGGTCCAGATAAATTTGGAATATTTACTTTTATTGTGAAATTTTGGCTATCCTGAGTAATAACAAAGAGAAGTGATAATTTTAGAAACTTGATATAGAGGAGACTAAAGATTCTAAACAGAAGAAAAAAAAATACAAGCCTGTTCTTAGTGTCAGTTAATATTGGGACTTACAAAATGACACATAACATGATAACAGTAATATTAAAGAAAATATTTGAAGAATAGACCCAGAAGTTAGTAACTACAATACCAGTAATTCCAGCAATAATGTCTGCTTTTATGGATAGACAATGTCTAAAAGATGTCAGTGAAGGAATGACAGATAAGGAACACATTTTATCTGACAAGACAATACTGAAACTACAAATGAATGCCAAAAGAATCATTTGGAAAAGGATATTCAAATGAAACCTGGTAAAAGTTTTAAAATATAAATTAAAAAAGTAACCATAAATGATAAACCAAGAAAATAATCTGGAAAATGTTTTGTTATTGTATCTACAAAAGAGGCTTATTAAAACCTTGAATAAAGAAGAAGAATTGAAGAGATATCAAACCCTTTATGGATTTTTTGCTGACACCTGAAGTGAAAAGTTTATGTTTATGAATTTGCTTATAAATGAGGAATGAGATATGAAATTAATATGAAATTAATATGAAATTTTGTAACTGTATAGGAAATGAAGAATTATTAAATTTGTTTATACTTGTTGTGATGAGGTTGGAAGTCACTTCTTTATACAGATAGTCCTTGATATATGACCAGTCACTTAACTGCTATTTAAAGGTATGACAAACACCCTCCCAAATCTACATACAACCCCATTTTTATATAATAATTTCTGTAGTAGTATTTTTGAAAAAAACAAAGGAATGGCACTAAAAACAAATTTGAATACAAATAAAGCTGTTATTAGGGGCTATTTTGTATAATACTGTAGTAAACTGAGGAAGAAGGCACAAGAGAAAACACCTGCAATTAAAGCAATTGTCATCAAAGACTTGAATTTCATGTCAAATTAAACTCCTACAGCACTAGTTATCTACCTACAGTAAAAGAAATGGAACCTAAACTGAATTATGCCAAAGAAAAGAATTTTGAATTTATAAATAAATCAGGGAAATGAAGCTCAAAGAACGAGATATGGTTTTATCAAATAATGTGGCAATTCAAAAAACTTTCCATCAGTACTACCCATATTTCTATAACAGTGGTTCTCAACCTTTTTAATGCCGTGACCCCAACCGGTCGTAAGTCGAGGACTACCCAACCGGTCGTAAGTCGAGGACTTTCCCTGCCCGGGAGCGCCGCGCATGCGTGGTTCCGCCCCCTGCGCCGGCCATGGCGTAGCTGGCAAGCAGCAGAGACGGAGCAGGCCGACCACCAGCTGGCCCAGCCCAAGGGAGGTAAGGCACCCGCCGGAAAAGGGAAAAAAAATGGCGGACAAAAAAAATGGCGGACAAAAAAAATGGCAGACAAAAAAAATGGCAGACAGCCTTGCTTGGCGACCCCCGTGAAATGGTCGATCGACCCCAAATGGGGTCCCGACCCACAGGTTGAGAACCACTGTTCTATAAAAATATTTCCCTGGAAAAAAACAGTGTTACATCAAAAAACAAAATTTCCTATGATTCATAGACATACAAAGACAGATTACAACAATACTGGATAAATAGATTGAAAATAATTTTACAAGATTTATTTATTAAGACCATCATGGATTTTTACCTAAATGACAACTAAAAGGTAACGTGAAAACAGCTTTTGACATTGTAGAGTATTTGGAACAGCATAATGAAAAACAAGTTGCATTAATCTTTTTAGATGCAGAGAATGTTGGTTATCCCTTTTTGCTTACAGTTCTAGAAGCTCTCAATTTTCATGAGAACCTTTTAAAATGGGAAAAATTGATAAATGTTACAGAAAGCACAAATTATTGTAAATAGAAATTTAACAACACTGTGTATGATCTCCCTAAAAGACCCCACAACAAGGATTCCCACTATTCTCAATTTTGTTTATATTGATTTTAGTATTAATAACCAAAAAACCAAAGATACTAACAAAAACATCACGTTATAGGATCAGTTAGAATCAATGTTAAAATGGGTTTCAGGATTGAGATAAAAATAAAATATTTTGGTGTTAAGTTGATAAATATGAACTGTATGTTTTTCAGAATACTGGAATTAAGTTATGATATTTGAATAACCAATGTATTACCAAATTATTACTCTCTTGCCAAAACCTATATGATTATGGAACTGCATCTGGCAATAGAATTTCTGGTTATTCAGGTGCACATCCAAGTGGATGCTGATATGGGCTCATTGCCCCATGATTGGGAGTGATATCCAGCTGTAGTTTCCAGATGTCCATCAAGAGGATTGGCTAAGACTGAATCTCTTTGCAACCTGGGCCATCAACTGTTTTCTTCTATTTCAGTGGAGACAGTAAATGTCTTCCAATTTCTGTGTTTCCTCATCATTCTATATTTATTTTCATTGTTTCTACTGCTCATCGTTGTTTTGATAATTACCAGTGTGGATGGCCTTCTAATTCTTCCTGGCAGCTCTGCCACCTAATCCTGGATTTCTGTTCCTTTTTCTTTGAGCCCAAGAACTTCATCATGTTTCATTTTGGCCAGATCATCTCATGATATATTGGGATAAATCCAGCATCTTAATTTCTAAACACACCATTTGGAGAATCTATCAGAGGGTAAATTGTCTGAAATATTGCAACCAAAATGTTCTGTCCTGAAGATGAATAATTGTAAATGGTGTAGAATTTTTGATTTTACTTCAGCAAGAAATGTAGATTTTCATGAATATGCCATCTACATATATGGAGTTTTGAATTTCCCTTATCTGTTTGACTTTTTGGATTTATTTAGCAATAATTTATTTTGTTCATGTTTTCACTGAAATAGCTTCACATTTTTCTCAGCTGCTGATTTTTTTTTAAAGAGATGGTTGAATGTATCCCTAGTCTTGTGTCAGCCTTCTGTGAGGTCTTTGCCTTGACTATAGTACTTCAAAAGCTGTTGAGCTTACCCATTAGACTTGTAGTCAAGAAACATTGCTTCTTTATTTGTAAACACATTAAACTGCTATTCCAGTTAGCATTATGTTCCACTGAACTTTATTTAATTTTTGTTTTAATCTAAGAATACTGTATTATGTTTCCTAGTGTTTCACAGAGAAAAGTTATTTTATTTGGGCCCTACTGCACAATTTCATAAACATCCTTATTTTTTATATGCTTTCAGGACCCTTGCAATGACTAATCAGTATTATCCCAGTTGTTAAAGTTCAGAGTAGCCATTAAATTCTTCTACAAAACCCTGCCTGCTTCTATTCCAGAACATCTGACAAGGCAGTTATACTAATACCAAAGAACCTGTTAAGTCACTACCATCAATATTTACTACTTTCTAGTGTTTACAGCACTCCTGAAAATCATTTATCCCTTTTTCAGAAATTGGGCAACTGCTTTGTACATTCCCATGTCCTCCAACACTGCATTGTTTTGGATTTGAAGGAAAAAAACACTTCACACTCATTTTCAATTGCACTATAGTTGTCTCTCCTTTCAAATAGGAAATAGAAATGCTAGAACTCTATTGATAAAAATAGATAAAATCTACATCAAATAGAATTAAGGTGGAGCAATATAAAGTTCTCCTTCATGGATTACTGCCTTGTTGTGGCGAAGGGGCTTGCGTAACTCAATGAAGCTATGAGCTATACCGTGAAGGGCCACCCAAGACAGACAGGTCATAGCAGAGAGTTCTGACAAAATGTGATCCACTGGAGAATGAAATGGCAACCCACTCCAGTATCTTTGCCATGAAAACCCCATGGACAGTACCAAAAGGCAAAAAGATATGACGCTCGAAGATGAGCCCCTCAGGTCAGAAGGTGTCCAATATGCTACTGGGAAAGAGCAGAGGGCTAGTACTAGTAGCGCCAGAAAGAGTGAAGCGGCTGGGCCAAAGCCTAAAGGACGCTCAACTGTGGATGCATCTGGTGGTGAAAGTTCAATGCTGTAAAGATCTTTTCTCCATAGGAACCTGGAATGTAAGATCCATGAACCAAGGCAAGCTGGACATGGTCAAACAAGAGATGACAAGATTGAACATCGACATCTTAGGAATCAGTGAACTAAAATGGACAGGAATGGGTGAATTTAATTCGGAGGAGCATCAGGTATACCACTGCAGGCATGAATCCCTCAGAAGAAATAGAGTAGCCTTCATAGTCAATAAAAGAGTAGGAAAAGCAATACTGGGATACAATCCCCCAAATGACAGAATGATCTCAGTGCGAATCCAAGGCAAACCATTCAATATCACAGTAGTCCAAATCTATGCCCCAACCACTGGTGCTGAACAGGATAAAATTGACCGGTTCTATGAAGCCCTATAGCACCTTATAGAATCACACCAAAAAATGATGTCCTTATCATCATGGGGGATTGGAATGCTAAAGTAGGAAGCCAAAAGATAACTGGAATAACAGGCAAGTTTGGCCTTGGAGTACAAAATGAAGCAGGGCACAGGCTGATAGAATTTTATCAAGAAAATACGATGGTCATAGCAAACACTCTTTCCCAACAACCCAAGAGACGGCTCTATACATGGACATCACCAGATTGTCAACACAGAAATCAGATTGACCATGTGCTCTGCAGCCAAAGATGGAGAAGCTCTATACAGTCAGTAAAAACAAGACCAGGAGCTGACTGTGGCTCAGATCATGAGCTTCTTGTTGCAAAATGTAGGCTTAAATTGAAGAAAGTAGGGAAAAGCACTAGGCCATTCATCTATGAACTAAATCATATCCCTGATGAATATACAGTAGAGGTGACAAATAGATTTAAGGAATTAGACCTGATAGAGTGCCTGAAGAACTATAGACGGAGGTTCGCAACATTGTACAAGAGGTAGCAACTAAAACCATCCCAAAGAAAAAGAAATGCAAGAAAGCAAAATGGCTGTCTGAGGAAGCTTTGCAAATAGCTGAGGAAAGAAGGGAAGCGAAAGGCAAGGGAGAAAGAGAAAGATACACCCAATTGAATGCAGAATTCCAGAGAATAGCTAAAAGAGATAAGAATGCCCTCTTAAATAAACAGTGCAAAGAAATAGAAGAGAACAATAGAATAGGGAGAACCAGAGATCTCTTCAAGAAAATTGGAGATATGAAGGGAACATTTCATGCAAAGATGGGCATGATAAAGGATCAAAATGGCAGGGACCTAAGAGAAGCAGAAGAGATTAGGAAGAGGTGGCAAAATTATACAGAAAAACTATACAAGAACAAGCTTAACGTCCCTGATAACCACAATGGGGTGGTCACTGACCTCGAGCCAGACATCCTAGAATGTGAAGTGAAATGGGCCTTAGGAAAGCTGAGCAACAACAAAGCTAGTGGAGGTGACAGTAATCCAGCTGAGCTATTCAAAGACGATGCAGTAAAAGTGCTACACTCAATTTGCCAGCAAATTTGGAAAACTCAACAGTGGCCACAGGATTGGAAAAGGTCAGTTTACATTCCAATTCCAAAGAAAGGCAATGCCAAAGAATGTTCAAACTATCGCACCATTGCACTCATTTCACATGCAATTAAAGTTATGCTTAAAATCCTACAAGCTAAGACTCCAGCAGTATGTGAATCGAGAACTACCAGAAGAACAGGCAGGATTTCGAAGAGACAGAGGAACTAGTGATCAAATTGCCAACATACGCTGGATCATGGAGAAAGCTAGGGAGTTCCAGAAAAACATCTACTTCTGCTTCATTGACTATGCTAAAGCCTTTGATTATGTGGATCACAACAAATTGTGGCAAGCTCTTAAAAAGATGGGAGTACCAGACCATCTTATTTGTCTCTTTAGAAACCTATATGCGGGTCAAGAAGCAACAGTGAGAACTGGACACGGAACCACTGATTGGTTCAAAATTGGGAAAGGAGCCCGGCAAGGCTGTATTCTGTCACCCTGCCTATTTAACTTATATGCAGAGCACATCATGAGAAAGGCAGGGCTAGATGAATCAAAAGTTGGAATTAAGATTGCCGAGAGAAATATCAACAACCTAAGATATGCAGATGATACCACTCTAATGGCAGAAAGTGAAGAGGAACTAAAGAGCCTCTTGATGCAGGTGAAGAAGGACAGTGCAAAAGTTGGCTTGAAACTCAACATTAAGAAAACCAAGATCATGGCATCCGGCCCTCTCAATTCCTGACAAATAGATGGGGAAGAAATGTAGGTAATGACAGATTTTATCTTCCTGGGCTCCAAGATCACCACAGATGGGGACTGCAGCCAAGAAATTAAAAGATGCTTGCTCCTGGGAGGAAAGCTATGGCAAATCTAGACAGCATACTAAAAAGCAGAGACATCACCCTGCCAACAATAGTGCATATAGTCAAGGCCATGGTTTTCCCAGTTGCAAATGTATGGCTGTGAAAGTTGGATCATAAGAAAGGCTGAGCGCAAAAGAATTGAGGCCTTTGAACCATGGTGCTGGAGAAGACTCCTGCGAATCCCCTGGACTGCAAGGCGATCAAATCAGTCAGTCCTAGAAATCAATCCTGACCGCTCTTTAGAAGGCCAGATCCTGAAGTTGAAACTCAAGTACTTTGGTCACCTAATGAGAAGGACTCACTGGAGAAGAGCCTAATGCTAAGAAAGATTGAGGGCAATAGAAGAAGGGGTCAACAGAGAATGAGGTGGCTGGATGGAGTCACTGAAGCAGTAGGCATGAGCTTAAATGGACTCCAGTAGATGGTAGAGGACAAGAAGGCCTGTAGAAACGTCCATGGGGTTGTGGGTCGGACACGACTTTGCAACAACAACAATAAAAAGTTTATTTCTTACAATTTTCTGTTTTCTAGGCTAAGCTCATATTTCATTAACTGTTCTGTAATTTCTTCAGCACTATCTCTGTATTCCACTATTATGATTTGATTGTTAGAACAGAACATGATGATCAGCACTGCAACTGTATTTGATTATTCCAGGTTTAGGATTCAGCAGTGTGTGTGAATCCAGACATTAAGCTTTATCTATCTGCTTTTCCTAATTAAAGGCTGAAGCAGAAGCTCTACCTTTGGAAATTCAGGCAGAGGAAGACATCAATATGGCTGCCTCTGATACCAAGCCAGAAGGACAGGCTCTGGAGGCTGATAAGTCCACAGCTGAAACTGTGGTGAGTAATTGGCACTCTATGTACCGTCATGCTAATCCATGTAGTTGTTTTCATTTACCCTTCACATTTCATCTACTTGGTTCACTGTCATATTCTGAACTGATTTTAGAATTGATTATCACTAATTATTATAGATACAACCAGTAGGGAAATTCTTCACTTGGGTGTTTACTGTTTGATGAGAGGATTGGACCTGTCCCACCAAGACCAATGTTCAAATCCCATACTAAGCATCAGGGGCATTGGGTAGGGTAAAGAAGTCAGGATGGTGGGCAAAACCACATAATCAAACCCACTTGTTTATAAAGGTGTGTAAAGTTTTTCTTTTATTTTTGTTTTATACTTCATAGTTGCTGGGATTTATAACTGCTCTGAAAGGCAAATGGAAACCTTAATATTATTTGCAACTTACTATATGAACAGCAACTCTGAGAATTAAAAGAAATGATATTTTTCTTGCATTACCATAAATCATCAAAATCATTTCACAATATGAAATCTCCTTTGCTTCCTACTTTGCTCACCATTCGTTTGTTTTTCATCCATAGCATGTTGCAATTCAACATCAGTTGCTTATGATAACTGCATAGGATATCTCTTTATTTGCATGTCATATAAGCAGAGTTGGTTGTGGTTAATATTTGAATCACCAGGAAATACCAGGATTGTAGGATAAATTGAAATGTGTATATATGTGTAAATAAATGAATCAATAAATCTCCAGAAGACTATCTAGCAAATCATATCTGTAATGTTGCAAAGAAGAAATATATGCTATAGCTTCCAGCAACTGGCACTGAGAGGCATCCTCTTCGTATACTGATGGCAAAAGACATATCTTGATTGAAAATCATAGGCAAACCTTTCTCTCATGATTTTGTCTGCACTTTCTTTTAAAAGCTCTTTTATTTATTATAGAATTGGATATATTAAAAATGATCTATGTGAATAACAAAGAGTTTTACCTTTCTTATTAGTTGCAGATGGACTCAGTAATTGAAAATCCTACTGAAACGGAGTGTGTTGATGCCACTTCTACAAATGAAGGTAGTGAAGTTGCTGTTATTGATGAAATAGAAGTTACTGAAAGCAGCATAGATTACATTGAAGGAAAAGCAGAAGACATCCAGGTACTACCAAAGGACAAACTTTTTTTCCCCTTTTTCCCTTCCAGCATGATTTTGAAAATTTACGGTTTTAACTCTACCACAAATCCCCAAGTTTGATTATGGCCTTCCTAAAGAATTCTGGGAACTATTGAGTGAGGTATTGAGAACTGAAGTATTGAGAATTCTCTTTGACATTCCTCCGTAATCACTCCAGTAGTTTTAGAATAATTATGTAATTAGGACTGTTAAACTCTAGCATGAATTTATGCATGATGGTGTAATAATGTGTTTTAAAACTGAAGGTTTTAAAAAATTAAATCAGCTAATAATTGTTTATAGCCTGTATTATTTTAAATTGTGTTGCCTAGATTTCAGAATATTTTTCAAGCCCAACGTGACACACATTTTAGCAAGGTAACAAAAATTCTTTAGCGCCATTTTTTTTTAAAAAAATCAATAGTATAAGGTAACAAGTCTATAAGGTAAAAGTAATATTTCAGTTTAATTTACAATAATGCTTCTATCTATAATGATTGTGATATAAATGTGTTTCAGAAATGTTACTTTAAAAATCCTGTGTTAAGAACCAAAATTTTAATATTACTGCTCTATCTACTATATTTCCATTCACATTCTAAAAAAATCTTCAAAGCAGCAAACATAATGTACTATTTAAAACTGTTAATTAATAATCTTATTTCATACAGTTGAAATCTTTGTAGTAGCCAAAATTATAATATTAAATAAACTTTTCTATTAAGCAGATATGTGGGGATTCAGCCCCATACTAGTAAAATCCTGTGAGTCCTATATTATTAGATCTCATCTTTATTATACAAAACTGAGTATTTGTAATAGGTGGGAATGACCTTGTGAGTAAAAAAACAACAACCCTGCAGCTTAGACAATAAACTAATAAATGTAATTGGAGCCTGAGGTTGCTGAAAGAATGAAAATTAGAGATAGTTTTTAGGATAGTAAAAGTGAAGGGGTACTTTTAGACTTGAAAGAGTCTGTTAATGTAATCTTATAACCGTACAATAAATATGGACCTGGTACTTCTGGTTATGTTTCTTGCCTAGACTACCTCGCAAGGCTAATATCAATCTTGCAAGAATCAAAGTATTTGTTGACCTTGCAAGATAAGATAGAAATCAGAGCCAGATGAGTTAATTCTATTTATTGAAAAACTACATTGACAGAACCTTGCAAGTACCGAAGTACGATTCTCTCTCCCTCCCCCCATCCTGCTGTATCTTTTGAAAACATGAATAAAAAGTAACCAAGCAATAAAATAGAAAAAAGAAAGAATCAGATGAAAGGCAAAATATAAATGAATGAAAAAAGTAAAGAAAAAAAGAAAAAGAATGGCTTCTGACTTTCCTTGGTATAGCTACAGATAAAAATACATCTAATTCTTAGTCTACGTTACATCTATAATCTCATACAATTCTAAATACTAAATACTAAAATAAAAATTATGTTTATCTTAGTTTGTCACAAAAAATCCTAAACAACTTATTAACAACTTATCAAATCCCAAACAATTAACAACTTATCAAATCCCAAAAACACAATTACATTTCTCTTAGATTCTCATAAAAAATTCATACAAGTACCTAGTAACATAAATATATAGCCTCTGTTCCATTTAGTCTACATTGCCCTCATCTCTCTTAATGATTAAACATTGCAAAAAAAGAAATTAAAAACTATTAAACATTTATCAAAAGTCCAATTGTACTTTTTATGAAATAACACCAATAAATCTCTTATACTTCCAGTTTGAAAGGGGAATCCACAATGTCTTTTTCCATTTTTAAATGATTATTAAATTGCATTTATAAATCCAGTGAATCCATCTCAGTTGTTTCCAGAGTGAGTTCTTTGTCATCAATAATAAGTTCTGGTTCCAGTAAAGAGTTAAAAAATTCAAGCACTTCATTGGCCAATAAATCAAATATTTCCTTTAGTCAGGCTTCCTCCTTAAATCCAGAGGAAGAAAAATCACCCAACCAGTAACAGGGAAAACTTGCAAGACAACCATAAGGGACCCTGTCCATTGTGGTCATGATGGCTGTTACGTGAAGTATCCATGTGATTGCCTCACTTACAACCCCTCATACTTCCCTGGGAAGGCCCTGAAAGCCTAGTGCAGGCCCTTCTCCAGACCTGCCAGGGCCTTCCTTACCCAGTGAGACATCCCATGCTCTCCTTCCCACCCCCCTCAGGGTCCACAGTTCAGTGAGGCTGTCCAGAAAATGGGTGCTTAAAGCATCACATCCTGTGGCCAGGAATATAAAGGTCTGCTCTGCTTCTCTAATGTAACTGCAGAAAGCTCTGCATTAATCCTTTCCAGAGCTTATGTTAAAGAAACAGAGTAGCCTCTTCATTCCTGGGCCACATGGCATGATCCTGAAAGTAGCCACCATTTTCGGAGTGATCATAATTCAATGCTGCTATGCGGAAAATGGTGGCCACTTCTGGGATCATGCCATATGGCCCAGGAATGGAACAGTTTTACTTCCTTCTCTAACCCAAGCTCTGGAGATCTTTAAAAGGTAAGTGAGTGGTAAGATCACATAGGGAAGCACCTTGTATCCATCTTTTTAAAAAATTCATTCTAGGTATTTGGATTTGAGTGGTTGCTCTAAAAGTCCAGAATATTTTCTAAGTATCAGTAACTGATATTTTTTATTCAAAATATTCCTTTCTTCCTTCCTTCGCCTTCCTTTTTTTCTTCTTCTAAGGACAATCTTGGTAACATCCCTTCAGTAGTTATAGAGCCTGCATCAAACAATGAAGATGGAGACGATCATGAGATACAAGTTACTCAATCTATGGAAGAAGTTGGTAATCAGAACACTGAAGTACCCACTGTTGAAATTACAGATGATATAAGTGAGCCAACAAATATAATAGAAGTACAGCCTGTATCTTCTGAGAAACAGCCTGCAGCAGTAGATGACATGCCTCCTGGCTTCCTCTATAAGGTTTTTTTCAGGATTTATTAATTCCGTGTGTGTGTGCGTGCGTGCTATACTGTAGCACAGAATGTAAAAACCAGGGATGTATACAAATGGCATAATGCAGCCTTCAGGCTTCAATACCAATAAAATTGTTGTTGATCAATATGCAATTATAATTAGACTTTCCTGTCTTCAAATTTTGCAATTTTCAGTAGCATGCTCAAAACCAGTTATTAGCTTATTATTGTAGTATAACCAATATCTCTCAAACTTGGCAATTTTAAGATGGGTGAATTTCAATTCCCAGAACTCTCCAGCTAGCATGAGCTGAGGAATTCTAGGAGTTGAAAGTCTGCCATCTTGAAGTTGGCAAGGTTGAGAAACACTTGCATAGCCTTTACTTACAGTAGTTCATTAAGTAGCCACAAAATGTTATAAGTTTTGTTTTTCAAGTTTCCTCATACATGAAAATGTATAGATCATGTTGCCAAAAAACATTAAAAGGACCTATATGGAGACATATCAACAGCACTCTTAATTGCTTAGAATGTGTCCATTTTGTGGAGCATTCTTTGTTTCAATAGCAAAAAAGGGAAACAAAAGAAATATTTTACTTAGCCACTACAGTACTTAGATATATTGTACCTTGTAACTTTAAATGAAGTAAAATATCTATAAATATATAATTAATGCATAGACACTTGTTTCTGTTCTTAGGTTGAAGCTTTGCATGATTTTGAGGCAGCCAACAGTGATGAACTTATGTTGCAACGAGGCGATATTGTATTGGTAATCCCATCAGCAGCAGAAGCAGATCAGGTAACAGCAGAGGGGCTTTATTAAATTTTTAAGTAAATTTGCTTTTTACTGGAAACTGAAATGCCGTCAGGGATATTTTTATTCATTGGAGTAAATATTTTAGAAGGGCTTTGTAGTTAAAAAACAAAGTATATTAAAATTACTACAGGCCATACTGTAAAAGCTAATTATTTTCATTCATAATATAAATGGAGGAGCATTGCTAAACTTAACTTTTTTAAAAAAGGATTGCTAAAGATAATTTTTACATGCACATATGAGCAGCTCTTATGGAAATATAATTAGAAAACTAAAGTTTTCTTTTCCTTTCAGGAAGCAGGTTGGTTAACAGGCATTAAGGAATGTGATTGGCTTCAATACAAAGATGCATCCACATATAAAGGACTGTTCCCTGAAAACTTCACCTGCAGTTTTGAGTAATTCCCAGCTCCAGAGGCAACATCCTCTTCTAGGAAGCTCAGTTTGAACATCTCCAACATACAGGAGTCCATAGTTGAGCCATCACTTCAGACAAAATTCAGCTGAAGCTTATCAAATGAGCATGATTGCAAGAAATTAAAAGCTAGCATATTCTGAAACAGTATGTGGAAAAAGTACTTATTTGTTCACATATATATGGCAACAGGTTTGTTTGTACTTTGTCAGAGCTATGGTGATCCTGTAACTTGATCTTTCCCCATGCAAATGAGTAGGCTCCTCTATACCAAACCTTAACTTCTCTGCACTAACTGTATTGAATTGAGTTGATGCACTGCAGAAGACTTCATTAGTAATCCTGTAGTACTGAAATCAAAGTATTCTATTTTCAATGTGTTTGGGGGGGAAAAGTCTGCCACAAAAATTTTCCATGTTATTTTCTTCCATATGTATGTACATATAGAGAGATACCTATGTGTTGTATCCATACATAGCACTTAAAGATCCTAAGAAACTAACCTGCAGCACAAGTGATTGGTGACATAAATAGCAAACATTTGACATGAAATCAGGAAAAACTGGAGAACATGTGTATTTGTTAAGCTTAGGAGACTAATAGAGAATTATTACAGAGGGAGTGTAATATGCATTAGAATCACTATCATTTTTGAAGGTTGGCTGTCACTGATTTTATGCATTAGCAAATATCTTACCTACATATAGTCATTTCATGTAAAATTGTTCATTCAGACATTGCTCTTATTATCAGGTATTACAGTAAACAATTCTGTTACAAAAGGAAACTAGCTGCACCATTACCAAAATATTGAATAGTAAAATATGCATTTGTAATGCAAAATTATCATTTCAAGCATTACAAAAAAGCTACCAAACTCATTTTCAAAGCAGTTGAAACACGATTGAAGACATGGCTCATTCACATCTACATTATCTATCTACTATAGATAAGTTGAAATTATTCTGATAAGGAAACTATAGTGGTAGATTTTGTATTTTTAAAATGGCTGGATGAATAAATACATTTCTGAATTAAGATAATATATTTTCACGGTATGCATTTATTCAATATATATTCAACAATCCCCCAAAATATCATGTATTGTGTATCAAAAAGACATCTGTAACTATTATGTTTTTCAGTGTTGCGTCATTTTAAATAAATCTATGATCAACTCCATAAGCTCAATTTTTATATATGCTCTCATACATATTAGCACGGCATCTTTTAAATTATATGGCACATCCTGTTGGCCTTAAACTAAATTACTGCTCTTCACCATACATGGTTCATTGTATCAAAGCGCTAAATCTATGGTTCAGTAAGCAAGAATGAAATGTTAGCCCAGATGAGCATATGGTGCTCAGTGGCTTGCAACATTGTCACTTTTACAGCTTGTGTTTATCAAGCCTTACTGAAATTAATTTTTACCTTGGGTCTATTTCAGTGGTGGCGAACCTTTTAGAGACCGAGTGCCCAAACTGCAACCCAAAACCCATTTATTTATTGCTGCGTGCCGGGTGGGCGTGGCCGACTGTGTGGGCATGGCCTCAGTGGTCACAGCCGACTAGGTGGGCATGGCCACAGCGGGTGTGGCCACCTTGATGGTGTTTGTGGGGAGGGATGCTCGTGGGGGCCGGGAAGGGTTGGGGGAGATCCAGGGGGTCTCTGGCGGGTGGGGCGGTGGACTGGAGGCTCATCCTGGGGGGTGAGGCGAGGAGAGGCAGGGCAGGTGTGCCTGACACCATCAGGGCAGGTGCTGCCTGACACCATCAGCCCCCACACACAGAGAGGCCAGCGAGTGCATGGGGGCCACCAGTGTCCGTCAGCAGCCACAGCCTCCTGCATCATGGCAGCCCCATCGGCGTGAGCGGAGACAGTCCCGGGACGGCCGGAAAGGAGCCCTCACCTGGTGCGGGTCCTCTCTACAGGGTGGCTCTGACGGGGGCGGCGGCGGCTGCTGCTGTTCTGACCGGTCAGCCTGCAGGGAAGCAGAAGGGGCAGCTGGTGCACGAATCTGCTGCCTTGTCGGGCTGCTAGTGAGCAGCCGAGGCGGCTCCAGACCCCCGGCTGCCCCTCCACCTCCTCCTGCTTCCCTGCATGGCTGACCGGTCAGAGCAGCAGCAGAAGCCACCATCAGATCCGTCAAGTGGATGCGCCCAGGCCGGGCAAGGGCTTCCTGCCCCCCAAATCAACGAGAAGTAAAATCTCTCTTATTACGGCTTAGTTCACAATCATAATAAAAAAAACCTTTGTTCCCGAGAATTTTTTTCCTACAGTCAGGCAGAAGAGCGGAGCCCCGAGGCAAGTGTCCTGGAGACGTTTCCGCCCGCGTCTTTCTCATTCTCAATTCTATTGCTCGCGTGTTGTCTGCACCCCTCCCAATTGCTCTACACTTCGCAGCCCAGAGAGTGATTCAACCCCCCGCCTCAGGGCCCCATTCTGCCTGGTGCTGGCAGCTCCATCATCCGCAGCGGCTGGAACAAGAGGCGGGTCACAGCAGCCCATTAATCTTTTTGCTGCATTGGCACCCGGGGGCTTGCTATTTTCCCCCCTCCACCCAAAAATCTAGGTCGAGGTGCAAACCCAGCTCATGTGCCTTTGCTCAGGAGGAGCAACTTATTATGGTTTGTGAACTAAGCTGTAATAAGAGAGATTTTACTTCTCGCCGATTTATGGGGGGGAGCCCTTGCCCAGCCTGGGCGCATCCACTCGACGGATCTGATGGGGTGGCTTCTGCTACTGCTCTGATCTGTCAGCCATGCAGGGAAGCAGAAGGAGGTGGAGGGGCAGCCAGGGGTCTGGAGCCGCCTCGGCAGCTCACTAGCAGCCCGATGAGGCAGCAAATTCACACACCAGCTGCCCCTTCTGCTTCCCTGCAGGGCTGACTGGTCAGAGCAGCAGCAGAAGCCACCCCCGTCAGATCCGTCGAGTGGATGCGTCCAAGCCGGGCAAAGACTTTCTTCCAGCTATCCCAGAGCGATTTCCGCCTGTGCCGATGGGGCTCTGTGGCCAGTCCATCATTATGCAGGACAGCCAGCATGCTATGGCTGCTGACAGACACCGTCGGCCCCCATGCGCTCGCTGGCTTCTGTGGGGGGGGCAATAGTGTCAGGCAGCAGATCCAGAAGCGAAGCTCTGCCGACCATCCTCGCGCTGGCGGCGGCAGTGGGGGAAGGCAGAATCTGGCATGCGGGCACCCTTTGCCACTGCTGCCGCACATTGTCCCACGTGTGCCTCCGGGCGGGGAGGGGAGGCCGTCTGCCACAGCTCACCTTCCCCCGCCACTGCCTCCACCAGCGCAAGGATGGTCGGCACAGCTTTGCTTCCAGATCTGCGGCCGGCCGGGCTTGGCGATGCAGGGATCGCCGCTGCCTCCTCCTGCTTCTCTGTGTGGTTGGCCAGTCAAGGGGCTCAGAGCAGCAGCCGCCGTTCCCGTCAGAGCCACCCTGTAGACAGGACCCACACCAGGTGAGGGCTCCTTTCCGGCCGTCCTGGGGCTGTCTCCACTCATGCCGATAGGGCTGTACTGCGGAAGGGAGATGGTGGCTCTGATTTCACTCACTCTCCCGCCAAAACTGCTTCTTTTATACGTTCCCTCACCCCGCCCAGCTCTTGCAGCTATTCCCGGACTGCGCATGCACAGAGAGGGGGACCCAGAAATGGCGTGCCCACAGGGACGGCTCTGCATGCCGCCTGTGGCATGCATGCCATAGGTTCGCCACCACTGGTCTATTTCATTACATTAATAAACTGGGCTTGTAGACACCCAAAACTTAACTATCTATTTTATGTATATCTACTTGAAAAGTCAATAGAGAGGAAATTATTACTAAGTACAGTGGTATCTTAGTATAAACTGCTTTGAACCTCATTGAATTTCAACCCATTTTGACATGAAAAATTTGTCCCAGTACTTATCGTTTGGTACTCAATGCTAGGATTTGTCAGTATCGACTGCCTTGTAACTTATTACATTAATTCTTATAGGAAAAATTTCTTTGGTACTTATCATTTTTGGTACTCACTGTTCCTCCCAGAATTAATTAACATTGAGTACTGAGGTATCACTGTAACTGAGAATTGGATTACAATTAACATACAAAGCTTTATTTTATGCCTGGACTGGAGATGCTTACTGAGAGAAGTTCCTACTGGAGGACTAATGAAGTTTATTTGATCTTGAGGTATAAGTACCAATTTTCTTAAAAATTAATTCAAGGTATATGGCTTTTATTATTCATTTTAACAAATTAGAAATGTAATGCTTAGGAAAATTCTCATCCAAAGTTTGAAATAATATTTAATTTAAAGCCATGCAAAACCAGTTGGTCATAATCTATGAAGTGCTGAAGAACTTTCCATTCCAAGCAGAAATGACCCATCCAATATATTGTCAGTTGATGGATATTCCTTTGTCATTCCTTTGATGTTCTTTTGTCATTATTTACTTTACTGTTCTATTATTTAATTTTTGTTTACATGCTTTTCATTTTTCCTTCCTATTACTGTAAGCCACACAGAGTAGCCACACAGCAAGTAGGCGGTAAATAAATTTTAACAAATAAGCAAATAAATTTAGAGTCCCACCGCTAAATGAGACCAGAACAAGAAAAGCAAGGACATGCTAACTCCTAGTATAAGCTCCTGTTTTGAAAATTTTCTTCTGGAAGGTCTTGAAAATTCTTTGCAAAGCTTTCAATTGTTGAGAAACAGGGTTGTGGGATTTAGGCAAGGTGGGACTATTGTGTTTCTATTTTACAAACTGCCAAGAGCATACATCAACTTGCAAGTTTGTTTAGCGGCCATTCAAAGTTACAATGGCACTGAAAAAAGTGACGTATGACCATTTTTCACACGTATGACAGTTGCAGCATCCCCATGGTCATATCATCAAAATTCAGATGCTAGGCAACTGACTCATATTTATAAGGTTGCAGTGTCCTGGGGTCATGTGATCAGGTTCTGATAAGCAAAGTCAATAGGGAAGCCAGATTCACTTAACCATGTTACTAATTTAACAACTGCAATGATTCACTTAATAACTATGGCAAGAAAGATCATAAAATGGGGCAAAAGTCATTTAACAGATGTCTCACTTAGCAACATAAACGTTGGGCTCCATTGTGATTGTAACTCGAGGACTACCTATATTCAGAAGTCATTGGTGTAAAAACATTGTTAATAAATAACTTGGAAATTACATGTTGAGAACCAGTTTGATATAGTGGTTAAAGTATCAGGCTAGAATCTAAGGGTCTTTTGGGTTCTAGTCTTACACTAGGCACAAAGTCAGCTAGGTGAGGCTGAGCTGGTCACTTTTTTTCAGTCTCGGGCAGTGAAAAACTACTTCTAAAAATCTTGCTGAGAAAATTGAAGGGAATCAAAGAATCAGATACAATTAAACATTTAAAAAAAAAAAATAACAAATATGTAATTGCACAGATAAAATGTATGCAATAAGGTAGATATGAGAAGCCCTATTTTTAAATAGCATATAAAACACTGGTATAAATTATGGACATTATTTTAAAGTGTCTATAGAACATGTTCAAAAATAACACATCAATTCTTACAATGTAGCAGAAGTAACCCTTATTTTTGGCTTCAGTTATGTAACATGGTATCAAAACTTTACACACAGGTAGTCCCAAATTATGACAGTAATGGAGCCTGCCCATAATGGGTCATCATGGTAACTTATGACAGCTGTAAAATGGGTTGGCTATGTAACTGATCCAATTTTACAACCTTATTTGTTATGACTGTTAAATAAATACTTAGTGGTTAAGTGAACAAGTTTGCTATGGGTTGGTTTTCAGCAAAACCATTGTAAAACATGGTCAAATGACCATGAGATATTGCAAACAGCTGTAAATGGACCCTGACTGCTGAGTGCCCAAAGTGCTATTATATGACTGCGGGGGATAGGGGGCATCCATCGGAACTTTGAATCCAGGTCGTAAGTACCTCCAGGTTGATTCATTGGGACTTCAAGAACTACTTCTACAGTCAGTTGGAGTCAGATTCAAAATTGAATAGATAAAAATAAAATGAAAATAAAAATATTGATTTAAAATTAAAGGGTATGAGACCTTCTTCACAGAATTGAGAATTCCCGAAAAAACCTATTATATCACTTTTTATTAATTTATATACAAATGTGTACTTCATTTAAAAAAAGAAAAATTGTTAAAATTTAAAATTAATAACACAAATTATAGCAAATCTAAATCCTTATTAGCTGACCACTATACAGTGGTAAGATCTACTGATTTAAACCCCGAGCATATCTCAGTAGATCAGATGTATTTCAAACATAAATTAGTACATTATGAACAAGTATTTCTTCATATTAGATATGATTCAATCACACACAGAAATATTATGTCTGTGTGTGTTCTATCTGAATCTGTATGTAGATTATGCAGATGCAAAACAGTTTTGATGAGGTATTACAGAGCAGGAAGATAAATTCCTTTGATCATAATTAAATTAACGATGCCATTAGGAGTTTCAACAATAAGTTGAATAAGCATCACGATAATAGTTCCATGAGTGGGCAGCCCCAGGATGAATCGATTAAAGTGGGAATGTCATTAGCCAAACATAAATTAAATGTGATGGAACAAGGAGAAAGAGTTAAAGAATTGAAATTGGCGAAACAAAATTTTTTTGAACATGCAAATAAAACCTGGAAGATGGCTCTCTTATAAATTAGAAAAAGAGAAAGAGGGAAAAATAATTCAGGAACTTTATGATAGAAATGGAGAGTTACAATATAAAATGGATGAAAAAAAAGAAATAATTCAAGCCTACTTTGAGTCATTATATAAAAAAGATGAAATAGATGGGGAAAAGATTAAACAATATTTGAAAGTTAATGGTTTGCCAGAATTAAAAGAAGGACAAAGAGACAT